AACAAAATTAATATACCCTTGTGCACAAGTGCGCTCGGGTATAAAAAGGGACGCATGAAAACTTTTTTTTTTGGCCGCTCAAATCTTGCACTTATTTTACTAAAATTGTATGTACTGATGCAATCAACTAATTAGCAACGAAATTCAAAATAATATTGTTTGCAAATTATGTTTCACAAAAGAAATTCTAAAAAATCAACGGTAATTTTCAACGACTAGAAACTTGCATTTTCTTATACTATATTTAAATGGGCTATAAAACTGCATACCCAAAAATTTTCTAAATATTCTAATTAAAAATTTTGAAATTTTGATGACAATTTTTGAAGCTTGATTAATTTTTTTGCAATTTGTGCAAGCTTTTAAACTTTTATTATTGTGATTTCTGTTATAGATTGAATTATATTTTAAATGAAAATTCTTAAAAACAAATGAATAAACATAATTTGCAAACAATATCATTCTGAATTTCGTTGCTAATTAGTTGAACGCGCATCTGTATATGCTTTGTAACTGAATGTCCAAATATTTTGATTAAAAAGCTCAAAATTTTTATGACAATTTATGTTTTTTAAAAGGTTTGAAACTTTTATTTACATGGTTTTCTTAAAAGCATGAACAATATTTTTATAAAAATATGACAAAAAATTGTTTCCTAAAAAAACATTGTAAATATTTGAGAAAAATCACCACATACTCAGTTTTGTATACATATAACTTTACCAGGGTAGCCAACTTATTTTTGAGAATTCCCCGATTTTGCCCGAAATTTCGTAAATTCCCCACCCATAGATATCCCCTTACTAAAAAAAAAACAAAAAAACTAAATGTATTTTAAAATATTACTGGTCTTTCTGTTTATTTTATTCTTAAGTGTAATTCATTTATATATTCAAAAACCACACCAAACTTTTATAAACTTAGTTAACAAATAAATAATAAAAAATGTTTATATCATTTTTACGTACATACACGGGTCGAAAAAATTTTAGTCGCACCAAGTATTTTTATTGTGTTATTTAATTTGAGTTATTTTTTTTATACAAATATAGTCCAGTCTTTAACAAATACCGTATAAATCCAAGTTCGAAAATTTGTGAAATATTTAAAAAAAAATCAAGCAACTTTCGTAAAAACTTCGACCTTTTTAATTCGATTTTCTAGTAAGATTTCGAGTATGCCGTTTTGTACCCCATTGAATACTATTATAATAAAGATCAAGTTTCAAGTGTCTAAAAATTTTTGTTTTAGAATTTGTTTGCCAAAGTTTTTGCGGTTTTCTATCAACGACAATTTTTGGCCATGTGAAACTTTCTTATACTAGAATTGAACGAGCCGAAATTCCCCACAAAAAACGGCCCATTCCCCGATTCCTCACGCAAACTGAAATTCCCCGCAAATCGGGGAATTTCCCACGAGTTGGCTTCCCTGACATATACGTAGATACGCCATGAACGTGTATGCAATGGTAAGGCCATGTACGACATGGCGTATGAGTAACATTATTTCCTGTTCCACTAAGTACCTGACTTAACTAAAACAGTTTCCAATCAAGACAATTTGCTAGCTGATAGTGGCGCTTGAAAACTAATAAGCATTTTGCAATGGTCTCCGTCGAAGACAGTTATATCTGGATGGTCCTCTGCAATAACGACACAACTCAAATTATGACAATTTTAAATAGATCCAATTAGAGTTTTCGCGTTATATAACTTAATAATAATATGTATCGGAACATAATTATTGTAAATTGGTCTAGTGCTAGGGAAAATTTGTAAGCTTTGAAATTACGACTATGTTATAAAAACTTAGTAAGGTTAGACCTAAAAAGTAAAATGTAACTATTTCTAAGTAGTTAAATGAAAATCGTACTGTGGTCAAAGGACATTGGACAAATTTTAAAAGTAAGTATATTGTTTCTAGTTTTTAAAAATTCATAAACTAAAATCATACATACAGGGCATTTCGAGAAAAGTGACTTTAAAATTTTTTATTGCATTTTTTTTAATTAAAAAATTTTTTATTTTTACAGTTATATTGTATGTACATTAGGGTGGTCCAAAATCAGTAAAGCCGAAATTTTGATGCTCTCACCCCCAAGGTTAGTTCTTTACTGAAAAAATATACCCCTGTTTTTTTTTATTTTAAAACAAAAAAAGTTTATTTAACAATTTTCTAATATAACTTTTTAAAGGTCCCCAAAACCCAAAAAATCGTTAGTATAGAAAAATGGTTAAACAAACAATTGGGTATTATTACCACACATTCACTAAAGATGCTTTCTGGCGTTTCTTCGTCCATCTCATCCGCTTAGCTTTTCTTTACCCTGGACAATAACTCCAGTGCATATGGAATTTTTTTGATCTACCCACTTGTCTATGACCTCCTTTGTGAGTGTGCTTTGGTGAACCCTGAAAAGGGTTTCGCGTCACGGTTTTCCTCGTAAGGCTATGAATGGCAGTCTCAGTAGATTTTCCTGGGTGATAGGCGAGTCGCTTCTTACGCCTTAACCTATGTCCATCTACCGGCAATAGCATAGTAAGAACTATAAAATTATAAGAAATGGAATACAAACTTTTCAAGTCACTTTTCTCGAAAAGACCTGTATGTATGATCTTCATTTTTGAGTTTTTAGAAACCGGGAACAATAAAATTTAAAATTTACAAGATTTTCCAATGTCCGGCAACTTCGATTTTCTGACAAATTACTAAATTGTACCCCCTGGAAGATTGTCAGCAAGTAAAACCACATATGTCGGTGTTCCACAGAAAAATATCGTTATTTATCAAGCTAATTACTTATATAATTGAAATACATTAAATTTTAAGTGGTGTCGTTATTGAAGAGCACCATCGATATATGTATTAATTCTGTATTATATATTTGAATATCACAAAGTACGTTTCTGCAATATTTTCTTCATTTCCAGCTCTTCTGTGTATTCTCTCGAAGCCAGCGATGAATGAAATCTTCTTAGTGCTTGTGTCCTATGTTATTGTCGGCACCTTTGTTGCCATTGAAATTGCTGTGGGTTATGCAACATTGCCAAGGTGAGTAATGAATAACAATTGCTTTGTAGCCTTCGAAGTTTTCATATGCTTATAAATTCACAAGTATATTTACATACATATAAATAAATGTAACAAATAATTGCAGCGTAGTTCGTTGGGGTAATTGGCACATTTGTGCACGCATCAATCCAGTGCAGGAGCATAGCTCCATAACAAGCTACGAATTTCGCCTTTAGTATCATTCTGCATAAGAGATGCGTAGCTGAAGAAACTTGAGCCATAATAATGCAAGGAAACAGATCTAAACAATAAACTTAAGCACATATCAATATGCACACACATATGTATGTGGAGGCTCTTATATTTCGCAAGAACTGTGCACTAACCTCATTAGTATAAATAATAATTGGTTTAGCATTCCAATTGAAATTGAAGTGGGTATTTATATAAGTTCTTAGGAGATTTGTTGCTATGGGGAATTGGCATGCATCTCATAGTGCGGTTAGCTTGATTAAAACAAAATATGGGTTTTGAAGATGGCACTATGTAAATGCAATTGGTAGATGGTATTTTGCCTTAGGGTTCGGCTCAAAGCTAAAGCGAGTCAATTTTCTTACTGGTGCTTTGATTGAACTCGAACTATAACCATAACTTTCGCGACCTCAGACGTGGTTTACTACGCATGTTCTTTTATCCTGTACTATATGCCAAGTGTTGAAATTATAAGCGATTCACGTATTGGATTGAATACACTCAAAAAAAAACATTTCTTGAAGCTAGGAAAAAAGTATATTATTCTAAGCTAATATTACATTGAAATGGCTCCAAAGAAATGGCTGCCTTAATATGAGTAAGCAAACGATTTGACTCAGTTTAAGGAAACCACAATTCATTAGTTTCAGTACAATTTCCGTTTTGTTAAGAAAAATGAACTTGCCAGTCGCAATGGCCGATAGAGCAATTCCCTAGAGTGCTAGTCGAGAAATGCAAGGTTCGAGTCCCAGAGCAGGAACGTTTTTTTTTAAATATTTTTTGTTTTATTTTTATTATTGTAATTTTTTAAATTTTATTTACAAAAATTATCTCATTTATTTTTTATGGTATTTGAGTATTTCCCAGGTACAGTAATTACAGGTATTGTCTTCTCAGAGAGCGCATATTCCGATCTGCCTTATTTGAAAAACATCATTGTTGCCCACACTAAAAGGTTTACTGCTACCCCATATACCATATATGTACACGTATTTTTTTCAACAAACCTTTTTGCAGAGGACTTATTTAATTTGCAAAAATTAAATTGAGCGGAAACAAAAAGCAAAGCCAAAAAAGTAAAAGAATCAACATTGAACTGCGTCAAAATGAAAATAAGGGAGCACGAATTTCGATGTGAAGTAAAACTCTCTGGGAAGACAATACCTCTAAGTATTGTACCATGGGTTTTTTTCATATAAAATTAATTTTAGAATTTGTTATTTATATTAGAATTTAAATAATTGACTTACCTTACTTTAACTACCTGCGACCAGAAGCAGTCGTTTTCACGCGACGCCACAGCAAGCAAAAACTTCATCTTAAGTTAACAGTACTGACAAAGTTATTACTTATATTGAGTAAATTTATTTCCTCAAATTAATGCTGCACTATTTTTAGCTTGAACCTGAATTAAGGAAGAACTTCTCAAATTGAATAAATTTTTCGTAATATTACGAAAAAAAACAGTAACTCTAAAATAAGGAAACTGGTGTCTTGTTTTAGGGAAATGCTTTTTTCTGAGTACAGTTATCAATTAATTTTTTATTATTTAGATATAGTAATTTTTTTAAGATATAGTTTATTTTTTACCAAAGCCGTATTAACTCAAATTTCAAATAATGTGCAATATTTAAAAAAATTCAATCGGCTTTCTGAAAAATTAAGTATAAGCCTTAAAAATATATTTCTTACAAAAAATTTGAGTATACAGTTTTGTAGCAAATTCAAAAAATTCCACAAACTTTTGTTAAAATTTTAAGCTTTTTAGTTAAATATATTTAGAAAGGTTTTGAGCATGCAATTATGTAGCTCACGAAATTATAATAGGGTACAAGTTTAAAATAGCTGGCACTTACCGTTGATTTTTTGACTTTTTTTGCTGACGGTGTTGAGGATTTTCTTCTATACGGAGGAAATTGCACAACACAGGCAGAAAATATGTGGAAAATTAACTGCAAATTCTAGCTACTTCATACTTATTCTTTACAAAAATGGAATGGGCTACAAAACGTACATACCCAAAATTTTTCTAATATTTTTTTTTTTTAATATTGCACAAGGTTTTTTATTGTTTGTGAATAAAAATTCGAGAATCCAATAATGTATCAGTTAAAATAAGAGAGAATTTATTCATCCAAAATAATATCACTTAAATGCTTCTAAACAGAAACAACCATTTCTGTTCACTGCCCTGAATGTACTCTATGTGATGCTCAGCAAGCTCAATGGGCTTCAATTCTGGACCCAACTGTATCATTACGCATTACGCGTTGAAAATAACATTTAAACAAATGTTGGACAATTTCGTCACTGTGACTGACCGGCGCATCCGAGGTTTCTTCCTTGTTGAGCCAGCCTCTTCCAATTACTCTACACATGTTTTGAAGACCTGAATACTCGTTGCTTCATTAACTTAATTATGAATGTAAAGCAAATAATGCCGATTACAAAAGTTGCGTTATTAAATTCTCAAGGATGTTAGTGCTGTAGGTGAAATAAATTTAAAAATACTTTTTGAATAGCCTGTATAAAGGGCGTTTATAGACGGGTAAAGATTTTTTAGACTTCCGTTTTGATGGACAGATAATAAGCTTACTCTGCTGTGTATATTCCATCGAGTGATTATTGAGTTTTTTTGTCTACCCTATGAATCTCTGCCTGAAAAAATGCAGGAAAGCTGCCTATTGGTATCGGTTCGGCCCAAATCTTCTCAAGCGAATTTGAACTTTTTAGAACACAATTCATAGAAAAAAACCCGCAGGCAGAAAATTCTAGGGGATATCTAAAATTGAGCTCATATTTAATTACTTTACTCATTCATTTCTTCTCAGGCAATTTTGTGTCGCGTGGACAAAGAAACGTAGTATTAGTGGACAAAGAGCGTGTATTAGACGCAAAGCGGGAGGCAGTCTGTTGCACATACAATGTACGTTATTTTTTGTATGTATGCCATTATGAAGTCATGAAAGTTGTAGAAAAGAAAGTAATTGTGCTTCAAGTATATTTTAAAATACCTGCATACTACCTGTTGTCATGTTTTTCTACGAATTAATAGAAGAACATGTTAATGACATTAAAATAGCTTTAAATCATAATTTCTAATTTTTTATTTGAAATATTTGACGTATGGTTGTTTGCACATTGTTTGCATTTTACACGCATATAACAGAGTTTTTGTTATACTACCTGTGCTTAAGTTATTTACGCATAAAATGGCATTAAGCCACGTGGATGAAAGCAATTTAATTACGGCATACTTTTGTTGCAATAACATTTTGAGATATTGTGGTTAATAGGTGCATACGCAACATTGTACATGGAGTTTGCGTAACTTTTTGAGATTATGTATTAGGCATATGACATTTTTATAAAATTAAATATATTGATTGAAATGAAAAATCAATAGAATTAACGTTTGTCAAAACTTGGTAAAAAAATTGCCACAGTGTCCCCGAGAAGAAAAAAAAACGTACTAAAAAACATTACATACTTTGTATGTATAATACAGTCGTGGTCACGCAAACCTTACTACCACTTTTTAAACTAATTCTTTAGAATTTCGTAAATTAATGAGTTTTTTGTTTTAACATAGGTCAAATAAATGTTTCAAACTTTCTATAAAATTTGGAAAAATTGATCAGATTTTTACCAAAATTTCAAAGTTTTTAATATGTACAAATTTTAAGGAAAATTTAGGGGTATGCAGTTTAATGGCCCATTTAATTGGAACTATATAAAAAAATTTATTAATTTACAAAACTAAAAAAAAAAAAATATAAAAAAATTTTTGTAAGGTTTGCGTGACCAAGTGTATGTAAATGGATAATTTAATGTCAACCGATTTATGACTGGGCCAAAAATTTCTTTTTTAAACTTTTATTTTTTTTTATTCTGTTGACTGGGAATTTTCGAAATATAGCACATATGACTTTTTATGGATTTTTCGTATGTGGTACTGAAAACGCATTTATGTACATGCATGGAAAATTTGCAAGTAAACGAATAAAAAAATGTTAGAAACAATTTTTGATCGCAATCATAAATGGTTTGACATGAAATTTTACATATCGCTAGCTTGGTGTGAATAGTTGTTAAGCAAGCAAGGAAAAATAAAAATGCCCATTTCTGTGCAGTGAAAGGAAAAGTTGTCAAGTCCAAAGAAAGAAAAAAAATCTGATAAATTATGTAAAAAGAATTCGAAAATTTTTCATAAACGTGGAACTCTTTAAAAATATGCGGAACATTTTTTTTTACCAAATTTTGTCAGACACGTTATTTTTTCATCATTCCCATCATCTCTCCATGGCATGTTAATTTATAGAAAAAAGTCGTATGCCTAATGTGTATGCAAAATAAATACCAACATACTTACATATGTATACATACGTATATACTACATGAATATGTAAGTTTATTATAAGCGGTTACTTTCATGGCAACAAAAAGCATTGTACGCGCCTTTGTGCGCATAAACTTCATTAAATTATTATTTATCCGCAATTTTTCCACGGTTTTCTATATATACCCGTACACACAAATTTATATCGCTTATTTCTTCAGCTGCGTACATACATGTGCCCATTCGGTGGCGAGAATGTAAACAGGGAGAGACATTTTAGCAGGGTTTGGATATTTTTTTTGTTTAAAAAATTTATACTATTTTTATTTTAATGAAAATATAGCTTACTGTCTAAACAAAATTTTGTTAATCAAATTTTCAAACAATGTAGAACATTTATGAAAGCTTTACGAGTTTGAACAAATGTTCACAAAAATTTTAAAGTTTTTAATAAAATTTGTAAATTTTTTTTTAGGTATGCAGTTCCGTAGTCTACTAAATTTTAGTTTGCGTGTTTTGAGTACCGTTAATTTTTGGCAATTTTTTGTTAATTTTTTTTTTTATGGAGAAAAAGAGCAACAAGCAACACCCTAAATGGCTAGCTACTTTGTACTTCGTGATAAAAGAATTGAATGGGCTACAAAACTGCATACATAAAACGTTTCTAAGAAATCGAATTAAAAAGCTGAACATTTAGCTGAAACTTTGTCGAATTCTGCTAATTTTTGTACAGAGTTTGAATTGAATAGATAACGAGCTACACTTTTATAAAAAAAAATATTAAACGCTAAATAAACGAAATATCCAAAGAATGTTAAAATATCTCCTCCCTATTTATATTTTCGCCACTGTACATACACACATACATGTGTACATATATTTCAAAGCTCATTCTTATACATTTTCTCATTGAGCATCATTCTCTTTTTGTTTACAGCAAATCGTACAACGGCAGTTCCTGTTGTGTTGTCTTCATCTACATGACTTATACAATGTTGCCGCTACGTCTACGTGAGGCACTCATCGGTGGCATTGTGCTGTCCTGCATGCACATCTACACCAGTCTACGCTACACAGAAGCGACAATACATTGGCAGGAGGTAAGTTGTTATAACTATATAGTTATGCATATGTACGTATAAGCTTACACACATAGCCTTATAATACAAACATAGCTGCATACATACCTACATACATACATACATATAAGGATGTTCATAACGGAGTGCCACTGCAGTGCTCCTCCAATCGACAGAATGCAGTCAATTTGTTGATAAACTTTATTATGTTGCAAGAATTGTATGGCAAAGCAAGAACAAAAAAAAAAGAGACACACAACAAAAATGTAAAGGATTTGTTAGATAAATGCGTGAATTTTTCTATTTAATGAGTTTTGATATAGCGTGGAAAAGTAGCGTACAGCTGCTGCCTTGCTCTAGTTTGTTTGCGCTGTGGGCTATTTTACGGACTTGTTGCACTCAGCTTGACTTCTTGGCTATTTGTCGCCGTTGTATATAGTTCCTTATAAATGTTTTAATATGATCGCCGCAGGAGTAGTGTAGCGATGACAAATATGTTGATGGCAAGAATGTTGCTGTTGTGCGTACACTTTTTCCCTGCTGCGTGCTAATAGCGCGGGTGGGAAAGGTATACCTGAAATAACTTTGTTTTAAATGTAATATAACTTTACAGCGATAAATTGCATAACAAAATAATAAATAAGCTATAAGGTAATTTAATCCGTAAATGAAATAAGCTGGTCGAAAGATTTTTACTAAAAAAACATGCAGTTATTTGCGTAATTCCAGCACGTAAGCATTTCATAACAGCTATACTTGCACAAAAAATATTAATAATAAATTCGACTTCACACAAATTTATGCGCTTAAATTATTGCAATATGGAGCGAGGATGTGAGAATAATACGATCTGTGCACAGATTTAATCAAGCTTAATTCCATGAAATTTAACTTTTACTTGCAAAAACTCTTACGCGCTGTTTTTAACGTTGGTTGAATCATTCTCTACGGGAACGAATATTAAAAAAATACAACCGAAATCGAAAACAAAAGTTTTGTAAAAATATAATTTACCTGGTTACCTTTTAAAAGCAATAAACTGGTTTTATAATTTAATTGAATACTCATTCACTTTTGAATTAATGATATTGATCCGTAGAAAGAAATGTATGTATGTATGTACATACAGTAACGGTCATATTAATAGCACCCCCATTTCAAAGTGATATACATATATTGTTTGCAACTCATGTTTATTTATTTATTTTTCAGAATTTTCAATTAAAATGGAGTTTATTCTCTAAAAAAACCCCATATAAACCCAAGTTTAAAACTTTGTAGAAAACTGCAAAAAAAATGTAACAAATTTTCACCCAAATTGAAACCTTTTTCTCAGAAATGTTAGAATTTTTTTTTTTGAGTACACAATTGTATAGCCAATTCAATTTTAGTCCAATAATGTGCAAGTTTCAAGTGGCTAAAAATTTCCCATTGATTTTTTAGAATTTCTTTTGTTGTGGTTTTCTTCCATATAAAAATAAACTCCATTTTAGAGGGGGTGGACGGGTTGTCTAGGACACTCTTTATTTACAAGATATTTCTAGCACGCCTAGTTTTTGAGAAAAAACCTGTAGACATGTCGAAAAAAGGCAAAAATTAATTTGGACGTAGTTATTGCGAAGAAAAAAAGTCGTATTAAGGAAAATCGAATTCTTCTGATGGTGAAAAATGTTCTGGAAAATTTTATGGTATATTCCGATTTAGTATGACAAAAATTCTATTTATGTTCCTGCATTTTTATTAAATCGTGCTTATAACTTTTCGCGTGCAATATATACCGCCAAGGTGGGGCATTATAATTTTTTCGGAATTTTCGCGACTTTTCAAAGTGTTTTCGAGCTCGGATTATTCTGTGTTTAAATCGGTTTTTTTTTTAACCAACATATATAAACAAAGAGATGACAGAGCATATACTCCGAGCAATTGCTGTCCTTGTCAGATTTAGATCACAATAGACTACCTTTGAAGTCGCCGATATTAAAGAAAGTAGAATCTCCGACAAGACAGGGCCTTTAGGTTAGTCAGATACATTCAGTAAAAGACCTTAGGCATTGTTTATGACACTTTGTTGTCCTTAAGCTGAATTGTAGTGCACACTTGGGTGATACCTCGATTGGTGTTTACACTGTAGGGACGCTAAAATGACACAGAAAAAATGTCGAGACACGTAAACTTCTTTTTGGGTCGTAGATAAGACCATTTTTCTATATCATACCATCTTCCTAAAAGATTTTATTTTTAAGATTGCATTGCGAGTGAAAAAAAATCAAACATGAATAACATTATTTCCTGCTCTCCTGTTTCATACAAAAAATTATTGCACATTTTCATTTGGTAAGATTGTTTGCAAAAGAACAGGCCTTAAGCAAAAAAACTACAAAAGATTTGTTATTTTTTTAATTTTGATTTTTTTTATAAAAGTGAATATGTCTTGGGAGATTGACCTGATCTGAAAAAAACGGCATGCAGATTTATAATCTGCGACCCAATATTAAGTTAACGGTTTTCGGCATTTCTTTTTGTGCCATTTGAAAACTTGATATTTTGCCACAATGTTGTAGGGCCTATATCTGAGGTCCCACACATAGTCTACTCGTCCGCTAATGAAACATATTAAACTATCGTGATCATAATAACACGAATCAAGATCTCCGAAGCATAGAGCCTCGCGGCAGTTGTAAACGTCTTGTTCTTGGATACCAGGTCTGCTGGTAGCAGATACAATTTGGATATTTAAAATTGCAGTTAGCGGTGAATATGCCTTGCGTTTTTCGTACCCGTAAAGTATTGACTTTTATACGAACAGTTACTAAGTTTAGAACCTTACATTTCTAAGATTCGGCTCTGCAAGGTACGAGCAGTCCGCAGGTAGGGCATGCATGTTTCTTGATACATCTGTTTCCGAAATTCGGTACACATAGGTTTTTGTAATAATCAGACTGTACGTAATATTCATGTATATACATACTTACATATATAAACAACAAGAAGTACACCACAAGAGAAAAAATATAGTGCAGACAATAACTTTGCAGGTGACAACAGCAAATGTACAACAATGGAAATCGACAGGAAATTACAATAAGCACAGTAAAATCGGTTAAACACGTAATACGTGCAGTAGATACACAAACGCATTCGAGCATACTTCCAACCAACTTAATAGTACTCTCGTAGTTATGCCAGGAAGATGCAACAAATAAATATTGGGTCATATAAAAAGGCCCAGCGGATTTGTGGATAAATTTTTTAAAACAAATTTCTTTACTGAAATTCAATTTTAATCAAGTACATATTGCCTATTATTATCTATGAGCTGTTTGGCTATCTTACCGCTAGCTTCGTAATTCCAACGGTGTAGAACTCCTGTGGCTTATCTGCGAAAAACTAAAACAAGTATTTTCAGTGGTTCTTCGGATGGCCAATTTTTTTACCGTGCTGAGAGTTTTGCAAAGATCGAAACAAATGGAAGTCAGTCAATGCATTTCAGAGCCATCAAAGATTTGTGTGGGCTGGCCTTGTTGGATTAGTGTTGCCAAATTGTTGGTCATCAACACCACCTAGTAACAAAAATTCACGGACACTTTTCATTTGACCCAATTTATGTATGTATGTATGTATGTACACACTTTTATATAGACACACTTCTGCACAACATCCAATTGCACTCATCCTTAAGTGGGACAATAAAACATACAGTGCGACATTTACAATTGCTTGTGGCATGCCACATGCATACATGATGTTGTACATCAAGGCAATTGTTTACTTTTTCCGTTCCACCACAAACACGTGTACCCATAAATGTGCCCACACATATACTACATAAGCTATTGTTAAACGTTTTCAACAATGCACAAATATAATAACTGTAGAATAAGATAAATATGCAACCTACCTTGCAACCATAGACTTGCATTCATTGTGTTTTCTTTGTGTGTTTCTTTTTTTGTTATTCAATTTTCCATTTTCTCCGACCACAATTCGACATGCAACAGTTGCTCTGCAGCCTTTTAGCATTATTCCTCTCCAATCTGACAGGCATTTATACGCATTGGCCCAAGGAGAAGGCGCAACGGAAGGCATTTATTGAGACACGGCAATGCATTGAGGCGCGTTTGCGTACGCAGCGTGAAAATCAGCAACAGGTGAGTGATTTTATTTAGTACATTTGTACGCGATTGGAGTAACAACATACATACATATGCACATACGTAAGTGTATAATTAAGGGCCGGTTTCTCCATCTCTGGTTAACACTAACTCCCCGGTTAAACATTGTTATCGACGTTCTAACTCCATGCATATAACAGGGAGTCGATAAGGTCGGTAACGATGTTTACCGGGGGATTAGTGTTAACCGGAGATAGAGAAACCGGCCCTAAGTATGAATGCTATGAACGACTGATAGACTTATGTGTGAATGCTAACCTCTGTTGTCACTTTTTAACTTTCAACTAGTTTTATATTCACCACTTGTCAACATCAATTTAGCTAGCTTGATTGAAGGTGTTTGTGAGAATACCCTGTAGAAAAAATTTAAGGGAAATTTATATTTTATACATGTATGTATGTAAATTAGGCTGTCCCAAAAAACAAAAGTGGATTTTTTAACGTATACCCCCTTATTTAATTGGTTAAAAACTCATTTTATTGGCAACTAAAAACCAAAATTATAAGCAATAAGTGAATCAGCAAAATTAGTGGAGCTATCGCAGAAAAATTAAATGTGTTGTGCTGCTTCAGAATATGTACATAAATTAAGAAAAATTCGAAGTTTCGGCAATACTGGTGCAAGGACATGACTACCACCCATACATCCTTATTTTTAAAAGCTTCGTTTTAGCTACAAGTATAAGCAGCATAAAGCAAAAGTTGGTAGCTGTCTGTGAAATTGTGTTACTAAGCTCTGTGGAAATTTTCTCGTTTTGTTCAGTGCAAGGACATGACTACCTCCCATATATCCTTTTTCTCTTATAACAACTTATAAAGTTAAAGTTTTTAACTCCTGCCAAATTTTGTTTCATTTGGTGTCAGGAAATGACTATCCCACTTTTGAATTTTAGTTATTGAAAAAATTTATTATTTATAATTTTTTTAAAAAGGTTCATACATAAATTTTTTTCTAAATTTGCTCAACAAATAAGATAACTTATTTCAAATGTAATTTATAATGTTGTCTTTTAAAATGTATAACTCAATTTCTTCAAATTCATATATTTTTTTTTGTTCTCCAAGCTTTCAGTCGTTCTACTTGTTTCTTCGGTAATTGTGTTTCAGTGAAGATCTATTAAAACAAAAAACCTTTGGAAGAAGAAGGTCTGTAAAATATTTACAACAATTCTCTACTTGTAAATAATAAAAATATTTACAGGGTGATATTTTTGGTGTAAATAATGTGTGTAAATTTTTAAAGAATTGTAAACAATTATAAGTAATTGTAAATTGTTGTAAATAATTGTAAACAATGTAACAATTTGTAAATATTGTCTCGATGCGAACACCAACGTGTTTCAGCCAGGGTTGTGCCTGTAAAATATTTATATTATTTGAAATAATTATTTACTTGTGCTTAAAATATTTTACAGTAATTTAAAATATTCTACAATAATTTACAATATTCTACAATATTTTACAATGTAAGTGTAAAAAATGTGAAAATTTGTGTAAGTGCACAACTCTGTTTAAAGCTAAATATAAGTGAATTGCTTTTAATTGGCCTTCTTTTAGAAAAGTTAAAATCGCTCCATTTTGATTTGTTTTTTAAATAAAAATTTTAAATATTGGTATTCTTGTTTACTTGTCAAGGTTTGTCAATGTTTGTTTCCTTGAAATATATCTAACTAAATCTATCGTTGAGCAATCAAAGCAAAAATAAATAAAATTAGTTTTTATTTTCAGAAATTTTCAATGGCTAGTTATAAGGATAGTCGATTATTGCATTGTTTGAAAAGCTGTAAGTCAGGCCGTTAATTTGGTAGAAATTGCGTAACGCTCGAATATTATTTGTCAAACTCAATCCATAGCTAGTTTTTTTCTACTTTTTTCTCATCTGTAAAAATAACTTAAAAATATAAGAAAAGGAATGCCGAAAACTGTACTCGACGGTCAACAGCTTTCATCGGAGCTGGTTACCCAAATTTACTGAGCTGCATAACTTTTATTTTAAAGTCCTCAGTCCTATGAAACTGGAGAATAATACTCGGCTTCGGCGAGAACGATTGTGTCCTTAGAACGATTTGCCGCATTTTTTGTTTATTATTTTTAAGTTATTTATCTAATTGCAATCGAAAAACATCAAATTTTAGCAAAGAAAAATTTTGAACAATTCGCAGTTATTCGCAATCAAGAGCCAGTCTGAAAGAACTTGTCCGAACTTGTCGACCTTAATATGTTCTAGAACAACGAATTTCGTTCTTGGCTTTTTCTGAAAAGGTTTTTTGTGGACTTGTGGTAACGGAATATAACAAAATATTTCACAAAAATGATCCTACGATAAGTGTAATTTGTAATTTTTATCCTATAAACCCCTAATTATGATTAAGTTTCATGTTTATTTTATTCCTGAGTAGAAAAACACATACAATAATTTTGACCGGTTTTACTAAGCAAATAAATACTCCTCTTTGCAATGCAAAACAAGGGAATGAAAGCCAAGAAAATCAAGCTTTTAAATTAGTATTATTTGAGATACTCTACCGCATCCTTTTGAGAAGTCTGTATAAATAAAGTAAACTTGAAAATCTGACAAAAAAGGACTCGGAATAATATTTACTGATAAAAGCAAGGTTGTACACTGTAGATCTTCCAGTAACAAACCCATGCTGATATGGGCAAATAATATATTTAACTGAAACACATAATTCGGCATTGATTGTGTGTAAATAGTTTTTTGAAACAGTTTAAAGTTTACATAGATATAGGTGTGCAATTACGAACATCATATCTATATATCGTCACCTGAAATGCAAAAAGACGTGAGTAATATTTTATTTTTTTTTTCCATAAAATGACGTGGGAGTTGTAATTCGATGACATCCATCATATCAATTAAAAACTGAATTTGGAATTTTTTATTAGTTACGACTTTTTGTATTATAGCGACGATGTTTGTTATGTCTTTTTGCGTTTCCGGTGACGATAATAATAATAATAACACCGTGCGACAAAAACCAACAATTTTTAAAGCACATGAAAATATTAATGTACTCGCAAAACTAAGAGCCAAATATAGTATAACTCTTTTTTAATTTTTCTCTCTGACGTCAGGATTTTTTTTAAGGACTTTGAAATTTCTAAGACATTATTTCATAAAAAAAAATTATTTAAAAGCAATGCTTCGATGACTACTCACTGCGTGTCTTGTACTATTACAAAGTTTTGTATTTTACCATGAGCATACGAAATTAAATTATTGTCCGATGGTAGGCAAACAGTAACTTAACCAAACTTAATGATAATTTTTTTGCAGACAGTAGTAGGCAGGAGCATGATTGTATTTAAACTTTCTACGCGGGAAATTCGAAGAGCCACTGACGTGTAAAGCGGTGTGAACTCTAAGTCTGGGAATGACAAAATTAGAGTTTTTCAGAGTTCACCTTTCCTTTTAGGCTCCTCATCATCTTTTAAAAATATGTTAAAATTTGAGTAGTACTTTGTAGTAGGCACTTGCCTTTCAACTTAAAATAGTATGTTAGAAAATCTTTTAACGCTTATCTTTTTTGAGTATAATAGTACCTTGGTATTATATCTTTTATGGGCAGTTATTTGTTTCAATTGCAAACTCACTCTGCCGTTATACCTACAATAATTCAATCTTCTTGACAGGATACGCCCTCAATTATTGAAAACAAAGCAACACAAAACTAATATCTTTAGCTTATCAGCTTAAGGGCAATCTCCTAAAATTCCAATCACTTCTAATTCCAAATATCACCAGAACTATAACAACCTTTTCATCGAATTGTTCTTGCCTATAGGGCTACCAGCCGTAACCATATCAAATATTTTCTATGCTTGTGTACTCATTCATTTCACTTTGCTGCCACATGCAGTTCTATTTCTATTTTCTCTTTTGCTTTTTTTTTGCTCCTTCACAAATGACATTTGTTTGCTTTTGAAATGCTGCTGCTGTTAAGCTGGCAGGCCGCACATTGTTTTAGTGCATTGCTCCCCTGCCATACAGGTGTGTATTGTAAGCGACACACGCAAATGTGTGTGTGTGTGTCTGTTTGCGTAGGTGTGTTGAAACTTTTTGCAAATACTGTACACCAAACGCGCATATACATACATACATGTACACCTACGAACATGTGTATTTACAGCTGAAAATATCCATTCGTTTTTTTTTGTACAAAAGCTCCCCTTGCTATTTTTGTGCCGGCCTCGCCAACACAATGCTTCCATTCACATCGTGTGCTCTCCTGGCCCCTGCGGCTAAATCCTTGTTATGCGCAAATCTGCGGTTTTCCACTACACTGCATTCGCCGACAGCTAAAATGCACAGCTATTCATACGTGCGCCTAATCGCGCTCGGACTCTGCGATATACTCGCACATATGTATGTACGTTACACATGTGTAACAAACCGTATTTGGGTTTGCATATTTCCTGGAACAATGTAATGAAGTTTTTGGGATTTAGCAAAGCTGTATGGAATTTAGATATTGCGCTAAAGTGTGGTTCAAAATCCTTAGGATTAATAAAGAATATTACAAATAGGTTAATTAGAACTTACTGAAATTTTATCGAAAACACGTAAATACGTATTTTTACTTTCTGAATATTTAGAATCTGTGTGCGATTCATGTTTGGACGGTTTTTGTTCGAAAGCTTTTGATTGCAAATAAAACGAAAGCTAGACGTGCTATGACTTTGCTCTTTCAAATGCATGGTTATTTTGTTGCAAAAAATGCTGTTGACAAGTGTCATTAGGAAAGGGCAAATGTAATTATATTATCCAAAGAAAATAACTATTTTTCCTGAATTCTCTTACTCAAAAGCTAGATGTTCTCGTTCTCGAGATATTTGATTTCGTCCTCCCACTATGGGTTTGAGATTACTCATACGACATGTACTCCTTCCCATAGCTGTGCGAATTAATTTCTCCCAATATAATAAAAAAAAACGATTCTCCACTATGTATGTTTCTTAAGATTTACTAAAAATATTTAATTTGAAAATTTCCATAACCTGCTTGGAGACATCAGCTCTTCGTTTCACGAAATTTGACTAACCCTAACGCATAGTCACCTTTACTGTTTGTGGAAACTCATGGCTTTTTAATTTCCCCTTTTTGCTTTGAAATGCATTTAAGCAATTTTGCTTTGAGCACCAAAAATGTCAAATGCCTCTCTTGTCTGGTATAAACGTGCATAGTTCAAAAAGCTTAGGCAAACAAACAAGCAAGCAGACGTAAATACGCAAAACAATGAAAAAGAAAATGCAATAAAAGCTGATTCTGTTGTTGTGTTTTTTTTTTTATAAATAGACAAAGCAGAAGCAGAGAAAAAAAATATATAAAAAAAAGTGAACAACAAATTTTTAACAATCTACAAAGTCGAAGACGTACTGCTGCGCGTGAAACTAAATTTAGCAAAAGTCGGAAAAAAGTCAGAAAGTTACCGTGAAAAGCATATAAGTACATAAGTAAAAAGTTGAAAGAGCAAATAAAACTTTGAAAGCCTGCTGTAAACACTTGCAATGAAAAAGCAAAACAAAAAGAACATCTTTTTTCTGGTGCGTGTGTATCTGTGCGTTTTTTTTTCAATATTTCATACATATGGCTTATGAGTGTACGGGTCATTGTGGCGTTCATAAAGTCGTATGTTTATGGAGCGTTCCATACCAAAACGGACGGAGTTCGCACTTTACGTGTTTGAATTGTTTAAAATTTTTAGGGTTGATGCATAGACATAAATAATAAATAAATATGACATTTGAGCTTGATTAATACATTTTTAAAAACTTTACAGCACAAAAACCAAAACAAATCGATTTAATAGTTTTCCAAATATCTTGTGAACGGGGAGAGGGACAAATTAAAAAAAAATCACACTTACACACATCGAAATTCTCGATGAAAGAAAATATAAATTTTTTTTTTAATTTTTCACATAAAAATTTTTTGGTAAAAAAATTAGTTTGTTAAAATATGCCATCTCAAAAAAAATAAAAAAAAATCACATTTGCGCAATATTTAAGTATAGTATTATGGGGTGCACTCTAAAATGATTTGAGTTCCGAAGTTTGTTTTTTACACCGAAATGAGTACATTACAAATTAACAAATTTTTTTTAATTTATTTTTATTTTTTTTGGGTATGCAGTTTTGTAGCTCATTACATTTTAGTAAAGCGCATGTTTGAAGCTACTGCAAAAATGCGTTGATGTTTAATATTTTTTATGCTGACGGCTTTTTCCACTTTTTTCTTATGAACGCCAGTTTTGTAATCGCTTAAAACTTGCGCTTTATTATAGTAAAATTTAATGGGCAACAAAATTTGATACTCAAAAAATTCTAAATTAAATAAAAAAACGTTTAAATTTGTAATGTACTCATTTTACTCAACTTCGGTGTAAAAAAAAAAATCATAACTCAAATTATAGTAGAGTGCACCCCGTAATACTATATTTAAATATTACGCAATACTTAGAGCTTCCATTGTGATTTTTTTGAGATGGCATCTTTTCAAAAACTATTTTTTTTAACAAAAAATTTGTATGCGAAACACTTTTCAAGAAAAAAAAAATTAAAAAACATTTATTTTCATAGAGAGAGAGCTCAAATTTCATATTTATTAATTATTTATGTTTATGCATCAACGCTAGAAATTTGAAAGAAATCAAACACATTAGGTGTGAAATCCCTTCCGTTTTGGTATGGAATGCCCCATATATATATATGTATGTATTGCCTAGGGGTGGTGCAAGCAAACAAATCCATACAAAGACTTTAACTGCCTGTCGCTTGTTATTATTTACCCACATTATAAGTATATTGCATATTAATTTTATTTTCACTCCTTCTCTCTACCATCTCTCTCTGTTCTATTTCGCTGTGGCTTCAGTTTGTTTTTTCGAAATTCTCTCGATTTACTCATGCAGGCATTTCATGCTTTAACTTAATATTTAATTTAATTTAATTTTTGTATTTTTAACTTTGTTTATTTTCCATGTGCACCGTTTGCGTATTTGCATTGCCGCAGGAACGTCTGCTGTTGTCGGTGTTGCCGCGTCACGTTGCCATGGAAATGAAGGACGACATTGCAGGGCAGCCGCGTGATACGCAATTTCACAAAATCTACATACAACGACACGAAAATGTGAGGTGAGTAGGTGGATATATGTATATATACATACTTATACATATGTGTACATTAGGGTGGTGCAATTTAGCTTTTCCCAGCCGCCCCCTGAACAGACAATTATCGGAAATAAGTTGACCAGTATTTTTTTAATTCCAAATCTGTTGTGCTTCATGTCAGGAAAATAAATTTTTTCGTTGAATTGCTATAAAATCGTTAAAAATAATTTTTTGTATCAAATAAAAATATTAGCTTTCACAAATCTTTAAACAATAAAATAATGTTGCATATTTAATTCTTAAATTTTACTAACAACTTTTTGATAACCGATAATCTCATCTCTTATGTAAAAAAAAAAAGATTATTTTATGTGTTCGTAGCCACATCACGCACGTTTTGAAAAAATAGTAAAAATTAATTTTCATCAGAATTTTATTATTGGAAGATTTCGAAGGGAGATATTTTATTCGATTAAAAAAATTATTTCCCCATATAAAATGTATGCAAACTTCATTAAATATCAAGCGATTGAAAAAAATTCGAGAATCGTTATTTTCCATTCCTATAATTATTTGAATGGCAGCAACATAATTCTAAAAAGTCGATCTTCTTGTGTATTTTTGGACCACCTTAATGTACAAATATATATAAAAAAATAGCAACCAAAAATCTAATATAAGAAAAGGAAACCGCAAATCTTACAACCCTAAAAAAGTTCATTCTTGTTCTTCCTCTGTTTGTGCACCAATGTCATATTTATGTACATATGTCATAACATTTGCAAAAAAGCGGCTTTGGAAGCTGAAATATGCATGTTGATAAAAAGATAAATTTGATTGGATTTAGGTGCTGTCAACTGACTGGCCGCTTTTCGAATTTATGGCAAGCCTCTTTGGCACAGTGAAAATCGCTTCCACAAAGCTTATCGATTTCTTGTTTTTATTTTCAAGCGAATTCTCGTAAATACATTCAAAAATCAAAGGCTGGCTCCACATCCTCCTCTGATTCGCTACTACTTTAGTTCTTCACTTTTATGCGCTCTTATGGATTTTTCTTTTCTAAAAAAAATGCGGTCTTCTTATTGCCCTCGTCTTACTATTTGTGCGAAGCGGGCTATGAGAAGTCTCTATACCTGTCTCGTACCTGTGCCGGTTAGTCTAGTCTATTCTGAAGACCCAAGCGAGCTGTTTGCAGTGACCAACAATTTCTATAATTATGATAAGCAAGTAAATCGTGTCGAACTTATTTAGTTTTTCCAAATAAGTTGATGGCAATTAATTTTAGCTAGTTAACCCGCATGGCGTTAAAACGTCAAAGTTGAACTACATTTTTTTGAACAGGTGGTAACCCTAATGTAAAACATTTTCAAAGTAAAGTTTTTACTAAAATATTTCATTCAGCTAGGGTATAACTTAAATAAATTCAAATTTTCAAATAGGTGGCTACCCTCTTTAAAGGTATTTCAAACGAAAATATTTGTATATCCCTTCCGTTGGACATTGTGATATACACATATTTCAGTTTCTGAATTAAGTTGAATTTGATTTTTTATACTCGTGGTAACTCTCATTAATGCAGTGCAGAAATAAACTCTTCAAACCCATTTCGATTGATACCAATTTTTTATTAATTCATTTAAATTATTAAATTATTTCGATTTAACCTTCTCAACAGGTGGCAACCTTCTTAAAACACCCAAATATTCAAACTAAAGATTTCGTGACATTTTCGTGTGACATTCGTATTTTATAAAATAAAAATGTAACAAAAATTATGTACAAAACTTAAGAAAATTTAACAAATTTTTATCAAAAATTTCAAACGAAAGCGATATAAAAAGCTTTTAGTTTGATAAAAGTTTTGAAACAACGCAACGCTCTTCAAAATCGAAACTTTTTTGAAACTAAAACCGTTTTGAACTTTCTGTATTCTATGTGAGTATACCTAATGTGGTTGAGGGCAAGAACAAACTTTTTTCACCTTACAGTTTAGAATACAGCTCTCAAGAAAAATCATAAGAAATATTTGCCATTATTTCTGTTGCAGAAGAAATGAATATACGACCTTTTTTTTCTTGAAAGCGACAAACTGATTTAAGAAAGTTTGATAGAAGAAAATTTTCTTTCCATTTCTTGTTCGTCATTTTATATGACTTTTTTGTTTTTCTTGAAAGCTGAAAATTGAAATAATATCTCTTTTAGAAATATACCAAAACTTTAGTATATTAAACAAATGAATAGCTCCTGAAGATGCTAAAAAGTATTAGCGAAAAGTTGGGCTATTTCCTCAGAATTTTAGTTTTTTTCGTAAGCAGCTATACACTTTCGAGCATTTTTAAAAAAGAACATCCCATAGTTACATATTAGCTGAATATCACCCAGCAAGTATTTATTGGCCCTGCTAAGCGGCTGCTCACCACTCGCTATCCTCATTCTATTCAATATTTTCTTCGTATTAAATTTGTTGCTCTAACAACTTCGAGTATATGTACTTATAATTCAGTTCGCTCATGGTCCATTAGTCCTGAAGGTTAAATTTTCTACACTCCAATTCATAAAAAAATAATTCCAGGTGACATGCTACGTAATAAATCATTACCATCATTATTTATTTATGTGAAGCTATGTATGCATGTATGCATACGAGCACACGCACATACACATGCATGTACATAAGTACCACCGATTGCGCATATCCTCTTATCCATTTTAAGGTTTTTGCAATTTCATGGAGTGAGCAACAATTTTCTTACGATTTCCTATTCGCCCACATTCATACATACATACATTCAAAATTTAACAAGTTACAGTTTTTTTCTTTCTGTCGCTATAAGACTTCACATTTACGCGCTACTTAGAGAGCGCACAGTGTGGCGGCACAAAGTGAATCGCGCCAAAGTGATTATTGCGTGAATTGCTCTTTTCCTGTTCTCAGAATTGCCACTTTCGATGTCAACAGAAAAAGCAAAATAAAAAAATAATAAAAAATGTACTTGTAAATGTCCAAAGGTAGGCAATTTGGTCGTTCGTTACCTTATCGCTTGTAAAGTACAGGCAGCATTTGTGAGTTGGCATGGCATGGCTCATACTTGTGCCACAAGTTGCCATGCACTATTTACACAGCTGTGTGAAACACATCGTTACAAAGAGCCACAGATATTTCGTATTTGTAGAGGATGAAAAAATGTATTTTCTCCATTGGCTTCAAATTTGCGGCAGCAGTGGTTGAATGGTGTGGGTGCGTATGACTGCCTTGGCCTGGGTTTATCTTAAATTCGAAGAGCATGGCAACCTTCGTACAGGGAAAAATATTTCAAAACTTTAAACTGTTGTAAAATACATACATACAAGTTCTTTCTAAATAATACTATCTTCTGGTTCGAGGCTAAACTTTATTTCCCCTACAAGCAAACGTACAAGCAAAATTATGTGTATGCATCGTAGGTGTGCATAATACAGACAATTATGTATGTGCGAATTTACGTATTTATTCTTAGCGTTGAACGGAATATTTAAGTATCTTAATTTCACCTTGATGCTACATAATAAATCACCATTCATGCTTACTCGTATCTTAACATGTTGCCAAATAAACTAATTTCCGTTGTCGCAATTTGTACTAATTAAATTTTAATCATCTTTTAGCTTAACACATGCATTTATAATTGAACACAAATTCTTATCATTATAACTCATTACATTGATCTAAATTAATAAACATTTTTTTCCCCTAATAGCATACTTTTTGCGGACATTTGCGGCTTCACCAGCCTCTCTGATCAATGCACCGCCGAAGAATTGGTTCGGTTGCTTAACGAACTTTTTGCCAGGTAAGAAGAATGTACATATGTCCATATCTGTACTCGTCTTATACTTAAGAAGAACGTCATAACTCAAAAACCTAAAAATTGGCTTTAAGCGTTTTTAATCGACTTTAAAAAATAAGGAGGTTATCAATTCGTCGGAATATTTATTAATTTTTTTTTTAAGAAAATTACCGCATAAGTTTCAGCCTCGTCAACCGACTTCGATAATTCATATAAGATTGAAATATAACGCAGATGATAAACTTGCGGTCATATCTAATTTGCAGGACTGTAAACCGCTCCGAAAATCGAGGCGGTTCGATTCAGTGGTTCGCACCGCTTAAAAAAACTTGTATCGGTACAAGAAAGGGTTTATGAGTTTTCCTGGACCCGGTTCAACTGGTTAAATTTAGCTTGAAGAAGTGAATTCATAAGGCACTTTTATTTAAGTGGGTTTAAGAAATTACATGAATTATTTTTTTGAAGTGAAACTTCTTTAGCGGCGGTTTGTTGGTTGGGAGTAAATTGGCAAACTCAACGGAAATTGCACACGGAAATGTTGGGATTTTAGGGATTTCCGGGATTCTCTGAACTTATCGATATAATAATCGATGTTTTTATCGGTTTTGTTATCGACATTTTATCGGTTTTGTTATGGACATTTTTATCGATTTTGTTATCGAAATTTGTATCGATATTGTTATCGATTTTGCAATCGATTCTTTCGGAACTTGTCGATATAATTATCGATATTTTTATCGATTTTGTTTTGATATTTTCAGCGATTGTGTTATCGATTTATTAATCGATATTTTAACGATTTTGCTATCGATATTTTTATCAAACTTGTTGAGTTGGTTTTCAATTATTTATCGATTTTTTATCGGTTATTTATCAATTTTGATATCGATTATTTATCTTTCGTTATCGTTATCGGATTTTTAATAGATTTTTGTTATCGATTATTTTATCGATTATTTATTATAAAGATTAAATTGAAGGTGAAGAAAACAGAAAAACATAAATGTAGGGATCTAGATAGAAAAAATAGAAAAATATAACCTTAGCAACGAAATTCAAAACGATATTGCTTGCAAATTATGTTTATTTATTTATTTTTAATAATTTTCGTTTAAAATATAATTCAATCTATAACAGAAACCACAATAACAAAAGTTGCAAAACTTGCACAAATTGCAAAAAAAATAATCAAACTTAAAAAAATCGTCATAAAAATTTAAAAATTTTTAATTAGAATATACAGAAAATTACCGTCGATTTTTTAGAATTTTTTTTGTCGAGGGTGTTGCGGATTTTTTTCCATGTAAAAAAAAATTTTGATCATGTGTTATATGGAAGAAAATGCGCAACACCCTCCACAAAAAAAATTCTAAAAAATCAACGGTAAAGTTTAGCGACTTGAAACTTGCACTTTATTATACTAAAATTGAAGGGGCTACAAAACTGCATACCCGAAAATTTTCTAAATAGTCTAATTAAAAATTTTGAAATTTTGATGACAATTTTTTGAAGTTTGATTAATTTTTTTGCAATTTGTGCAAGCTTTGCAACTTTTGTTATTGTGGTTTTTGATATAGATTGAATTATATTTTAAATGAAAATTTCTTACTGGGTTTGTCGAAGACAATAATTTATTAATTGGCATTGCAAAAATATGACTTGCTTCATGTTAAAAAATTATAACAGCCTTATTGCATAAATTACAATAAAGGAATAACATATGTGACCTGAAATTGTTAAACGCCTTACATAAGTGCCAAAAACGATTCATCTCTTTCAAGTAAAATAATTAATTGCTATGCCACCATGTCTCATAAAATACAACAAATCATTGCATGCCTTCATAAATTGACACAGGTGTTTGCTTAAGTAATGAGGCTAACTTGCCACGAATTTGTGGATTACAGTGCTTAATCTGTGTATTTATTAGAAATTCAATAATAAACCTTTAACAGTGTTAGGCATTTCAGATGATGGCGAATGAAATTTTGTTGGAGAGGTGAACTCAAGGAAAATTTCGTGAATGTTTGATTATTTTTACTCAGTCTTCTATATAACGCTATTAATTTTATACTGGATAATTCTAAAAAGTGCTAAATTAAATTTTTTAAAAGCATATTTTTGTGTACATATTTTCAACATAAAACAACCGGGTTTTAAATAGGCATTGATGGGAGATGAACAATTCAAAATGTTCTTGTTTTCTTTATTAAATCAGCGACAAGATATAGCATTAAATACTGCTCGGTCGGGCTGGGGGACTATCCGTATATTCGTTTATCCGTTCGGATATTCGTGTATACAGACAAAATTCGGATAACCGCATTCGATATACATAGGTTTATTGATACGTAAATAAGGTGTTTTTCACAGTTTAATTTTTTATTCATCTCCTTCACAATTCATACAGTAGAGCGTTAAATATCGTATGCTCATTAGGGTGGTCCTTAAAAGTAAGAAGCGAATTTTTACATCAGATCGCAAAGGGGTTCAGTTTGACCCCTATTATAGATGACCCTATTATATATTAATTATATGTGATATCTTCGACTATGGTAGCATCGATTTTGGATATTAGATGAAAAAAAAATTTATTTTAATTTTTGAGTCTCTATAAATCTGAACTTTGCTCCCTGTGCGACACGCCTTAACCGTGTCCAATCGGGAACAAAATTTATATGTATGTGATATCTGTGATCGTTTGATCGCTCATTTGATTTTTAAGCACCACCCTAATGTGCATACATAACAACCCAATTCGGACACCATTTAACTTTTCCATCTCCGATTTTTTTGTTTTTTAGTTTTTTATGTTATAGTACCAATTTAGAGAGATCTTCCTGATTAAATAATTTTTTTTTCGAATTGGGAAAAGTATTTTTTTAGTGCCCACAACTTTACGAAAAATGGGAAGAGATTTTGAATTTTCTCAACACTTTTCAACATAAAATCGAAAAAAATTTCAAACCCGTATTTCTGTAAAGCTTCTTAGGTATTATGTAAATAAACTGGTTTTATTAAATTTTTCTTTCTACGAAATTTTTCTTCAAATTTGCAGATTTGATCGATTGGCAGCTGAGCATCATTGCCTGCGAATCAAACTTTTGGGTGATTGTTATTACTGTGTATCTGGCTTGCCCGAGCCACGGCCGGATCATGCACATTGTGCCGTGGAAATGGGTTTAGACATGATTGATGCCATAGCGTAAGTGCAACCAAATTAATACATACATACATACATGAATTGTTTCTTTTTTTGCTTCGAAAACAAATAAATGTTAATAAGAAATAAGAAAGTGACAAGAAACACCCTGAGGTTATAGTCTACTTGTAGGCGTTCGAACACGTTTTTACACTTCGGTTTAGAAAAGTTTTTTTCTTAATATGTTTTAAACATTCCAAATGTGTTTTTTTGAGATTTTTTCGTATACATACTAAGCTTACAGATGTGTTAATATACATACATACATACATATGTTCATATGTGTATAGATGTATCATATGTATGTATACATATGTGCTTAGCTAAATATTATTATTACATACATATTGATACTTCCTTTTCACCAATATTCAGGCTTGTTCGTGAGGTGATGGCTGTCAATGTTAATATGCGTGTTGGCATACACACCGGACGTGTGCATTGTGGCGTACTGGGCTTGGTCAAGTGGCAATTTGATGTGTGGTCGAATGATGTGACACTAGCTAACCACATGGAAAGCGGCGGCATACCTGGGTGAGTGTTAAATGGCGTAAAAGTTTTTAAATGTGTTTGCCAGATACTAACTTATGCAAGCACATGTCTACATAAACAGTGGTGGGAGAGAAAATAGGAAGACAAGTTTTTACAGGTTTTGGATGCTTTACTTTTGTTTATTTAATGTTTAATAATTTTTTTTTACAAAAATTTTTATTAAAAACGGCCTAAAGCTCAATAAAATTGTTGAATATATTTGTTATAAGGCCATAAATAACAAAAAGTAAATATCTTAAGGACGAGCACACCTAAAAGTTAAACATTCCAAAAATAGAATTCTTAGCAAAAACCAACAAAAACAACCACCACATGATCAAGTTGAAATAGCGGTGGAATAGCTGCGCTTGATTGTAGTTGGCTTAAAAAATGAAAAAGTGGAAAAAGCAACAACAGTTTATGTGGCGAACTTAGCTCAGTGGGTGGTCGACTGCTGGCTAGGCGGCTGGGGTCGTTGAATCGAATCCCAGTTGAAGAAGTCTGATGAGGAGAAATGGTGATCTCCGAAATAGCTATAACTTTTACCAAAAATGTAATTTTATAGTATGCTTAGATACGATAAGCAAAATGCACCGTAAATTGGCCGCAACGCCCAACCATTACGACATACGAACTACCTGTAAGATAAAAGGGCAATGATTTTTCTTAAGCATTTGCATAGTTAGAACCCAATTGTATTATATACTACTCTACTCCTTCATTGCTGGGTTCTGGAATGAATGTCACGCACAGGTGCCTCACATGCTTATGTGTACATCAAATGCAGCTCGATGGACAACAACGACATACAAACCTACAATATGTATTTATGCTCGAGTATACAAACATTGCCACAAAATTGGGGCAAATTTCAACCGCTAGAGTACGAATGGTAAACAACAACATTCAGTTGAGTGACATACCAGCTCCACTAAATTGGCAGTTGCATGCAAATTCGTTATGCACAAATCACTTACTAACAATTTTCACCTACACACTCTAATTTTCTCACATTTCTGCCAATTTCAGTAGCGTTGTATGTTGTGTAAAGAAGGAGGAACAACTTTACACCGTTTTCTGTTGCTGAGCTGGTTGTACGAATATAAGGTTTCTGGCTTTTTTTTAATCAGAAAATTCTTCAAACTTTGAATGATTGGTAATCTGAAATTACGTGACTGAAGTCATAAGCTGAAGTTTTCGAACAATCAACAACTAGCATATTTTCAATGATTGTCCATGTGTTCTCCAAAAACCTATTTCTTGTGAATGGCTGATTTTGATAGATTTTCATCGTCGCTGCCTGCTTCTGTTGTTTGTTCTCAGTATCCAACTAAATTGAGTTTTGGTATCTTTTTGAAGTGGTCTAAGCACATTACACTTTTATAATCTGGTAAAATTGATAGATCAGAGGACTTTCGAAAAAATTATTAATTCAACAAACTATTTAAAAAACTTAGTGCCATCTAGAACAGCAGTGTGGCTATCAAATAAAAGAGAAAAAGTTTAAAAGTTTTAAACTTTATCCTTGAACATTCTTGACAATTTGCAATATTTATTTTTGAAGAAATTATATGACCAAGACTAACATATACATGACCACGTCCTCGAATTTCGCCCTTCTAACTTTATTTGCTTAAAAAAATAAAAATTATTAAAAGGGCTTTTTCAACATCTATTCATCCTTTTGACCGAAAAAATTTAAATTGGGGTTTTGTTAACTTCTTTACGGATGGATCGAAGGTGAATGGGTAAGGAGGCGGAGGTGCGAGGAACTCTCCCCACCAACCTGGTTTTTGGCTACCGGATTACTTTAGCGTTTTCCAAGAAGAGATAGCCGCAATAAAGGAGGCCTCGCACTGGTTGTTCTCTAGTGTAACATCTTTTAAGTACAAAATTAAAATAATAATAATAATTTTTGAATAGTTAATTAAAAATATCCTGGCCAGGATTTTTTCAGCCAACTCACTCGCAAAATATTTATTAACACTTTAAAGTTCATAGAAAATAGATTTCATCGATTAAACAGATGGGTGAAGGTCGTGCCTTTGTCGGATCTTAGACTATGAAGTAAAAGAAATATTTATTTTCACAAATTCTATATAATTTCTACGAAAAGCTGTTTTTTTTTTCTCCATATAAAATACATGGAAAACTTTGAACGCTTTGAGCGGGCTCTAAATATTTTTCGATTTGAAAATAAAAAATAGGGGAATAATTTTTTTTTGTATAAAACAATTCTAAGGCGTGAGAGTATTAAAAATCCGGCTTTACTTTTTCACATGCATTTTTAAACCATGCATATGGTATCTCGATTAAAAGGAATGCTTCTCCACAATACGCTGTAGCCACATTTACGAGTACATGCGTAGCGTCTGAGTAATTCACTATGAAACACACACAAATTCTTGTTTTATTAAGCGTGAAACTAACAGAAGGGCCACGAGCTAAGTAGCTAAGTGAATTGGATAGAGTAAGTAAGGGTGGCGGAGTAAGACAAATTTAAGGATATCCATGTAATGATGCTTCAAACCAGAATGTTGCTCAATCATGTGTATCTCTTGCGTTTGCTTTCATTGCATTCCTTTCCAATGCTCAACTACATATTTATTCAACCGCAACGAATTCTTACATGGTACTTAGTAATAACGAGAAATACATATATACCCATACACATTTATGTAAATATGTACACGTACGTGTGCCCGCATAGTGAAGATAACATAAAGCAACAGTTAGCCTTGACATCCTTTGTTGATAACGACAATTTAATCCTTATTAAAGCTTTCGGCTTTTGAACTCTCAGCCTATATAAATGTATCATTTCCTAATCTGTTTCCTCCCTCCTAAATCGCTGGCTTATCGCTTTGTGAGTTGAACAAGAAACGAACCAAAGTAAATTTAAGATCCCATGTTTTTTTTAATAAGGCTAAGGGACTTTGTAACATTTAAAATTTTTTTTTAAGTATATGGTCTAATAAAGTAACACGAATTTCGTCTTCATAAATACCAAGTGTGTACATTAGAGTGGTTCAAAGAAATTTTTTCCGAGATAGGGTTTGCGGCACTTTCCAAAATTTTTCCTCTTGCCGAAAGAGGTGCTGGCACCAAAGTTTACGTTTCTAAGTACTAAATAACAGGATGCTCATGAAATGATTATGTTTTACTCTAGAAGTATTTTGTGCATATCGGCTCCTAACCGCCAAAAAGATGTAAGCGAAATTTTTTCCAAATGTTATTTTTGACGCAGAAATACTCTTAGAGCTTCTAGATGCATTGCTGCATTAAAAAGAAGAAAATTTTGAATAAATGTCGCTTACTTCTTTTTGGCGGTTAGGGCCCTATATATTTACCAATTAATTGGTTAATTTAAATTACCTAAAAAAACACAAGCTTCAGTTGGCATGGCAACAGCAGCTTTTTATAAAAAAGCACCAATATTTTTGTCAGTTTCCAAGCAATACAGGGCGCATTTCAAGGTCATTGAGCACCTTGTACTGGTTACAGAAGAAAACTGAAAGTTGGTATTGATATTACAAATATCAAAAGGGGAAAGAAACTGTAGGCGTGCCCCACTTTCTACGATGAAATTTTTTTTCTCCCATGCAAAAATTGGACCACTTTAGTGTACATACATACATAGTACTTATCAAGAGGTCCAGCAATTGGATTTAGAAACAACAAAATATCTCCACATTGTTGATATAATTTTCGCTTTTCTATTGCAAGATGTTGTGAATATTTTTACCACACTGTCCAATGTTTGATGTCAGCGTCGCCAACGCGCATTCTGTCGGAAATTTGTTGGTCTTTCTGGCTCGGTATGGGCGTTTGTGGCCTCTTTGAGATTTTATTGCAGCTTTATAAACAAACACCTTTGTGGAAATGCAAGTGGTCGACGGTCAAAACATATTCCTTTCAGGCATTCTAGACGGACGAATTGGAACCTCTACAGCAGGAAACTGCAGGAGTTCCCAGCAGGGGCTCCCCAAGATAGCTGAATGATAATCTGTAAACTCATGCCCGCTGAGTGGGTCCTCAAACAAAGTAAATCTGCACTGCTGGACAATGCTCAGGATGTCAAGCAGACGCTTTTCCAATACAACTCTGACTAAAAACTCTATAGCATAGGATTTGGTAACTTTAAATTTGGGATCAGAAAGGTCAAACCCGCCCAATGGCGGAAATTCTTCAAACACGTGGAAGACTGTCGGGATGAGATCGGCTTATTCTCGCACAGCTGCAAATGGTTTTGGAGCTGTCATGTCACTGACTGACTACCATCTACGCAGGCTGCGTAAATAAAGCAGATATTACGAATAATTTTCACAGCTAATGTTACTTGCTTTTGAAAATTCTCCAAAGACCGATTGACTTACATACATATATTTATGTATGTTTAAGAAAATATGATTCTTCGGAAGCTTAATCGTTTCTCTCTCTTATCATACTCCGCGTTGTTGTTGTTGTAGCGGCTACCAAACCCTGCCTTGTCTCCCAATCGCCGTATGATAATTTTTGCAACCTTCGACTTTATACATGGTGAAGGGAATGGGTGCGTACGGATAGAGGCTCCTATTGAATCCTACTCTATACCTACATATCACTCTAATGTAGCGAATGTAGCGATGGCAGCCCCTGTAACAGAGGTTCGCAAGTATATTAACTGGTAGATAGAATTTGGATTTGTCGGCTCCGATTACTTTAAAATCAGGCTGATTAGAGTTCCAGAGTACAATGCCATTGTAGGAAATTCCAGGTCATTGTATGAGAGATAACTCCTGTATTAATATGTGCTTTGCTCCTGGATAGATTTTACTCTATCGTTCGATCAATTGAGGGATTCACAACGGTGTCGTAAGTGTCGTATTGTTGTATGTCGTAAACTTTAAAAGCTTAAATAAATGTTTAGAGAACTTGAAACGACAACCAACTATTTTTTAACACTGCAAAAATTCATAATATGACTTTGATCGTACTTTGCAAACCCCCTTAATATATTTTTTATGCGTTTAAAGTTTACGACATACAACAATACGACACTTACGACACCGTTGTGAATACCCCAAATGTAAATTTTTCAGCTAGATAATCCCCATCTCTCTATTCTGGCAGGAGTCTTGAACGGGCACTGCCCAATAGGAAACCATGCGATACGCTTCACTTAGTATCGATTCGGATCCCTATTGTGATAGCTGGTCGGAGAATGATGAGTTGGAAACGTCTCGTCTTAACGTTCTACAATATAACAATTATGAACAAAAGTCAGAGTGCAGACTTCGCGCGGCTATCAAATAAACTAACCTAAAGCTACCAACATCAAAGAAGAGCGCGTAAGACGTGCAAGGGTTTATTGCAGCATATTCACACGCTTTACAATTTAGAGCTCTTATAAAATTTGCAGTAGGACTTTTATATATGTCTTTGAAGTTTTGAAACTTCCTCTCTGACCATTTATATAATCTGGTGCCGGAAAGTGTAAGTATGCATTCTTTCGAACGAACTCTTGCCTAATAAAGAATTCGAAGGCAAACACACTAAGCCTAATAAGCCTTTTAAAAAACATTCGCTTAACTAACTATTTAAGCATCACCAACATTGAAAGCACGCACGGTCGAAAGCTTAACTGATAATATCTAATACATTTCTAAAGTTCCTTAAATACGATGTTAATTATTACGGATTATTAATTTAATGCCTTGGATACTAGGAAGGATAATTTTGAGTTTCTTTGAAGGACACATTTGTATATAATTTTAGGTCGATGACATTTTGCTTTAATACGCTATTACACATAGAGCATGTACATACATGTCTATCAAAAGGGTCATCGACAAAAGATTTCACAGTAGTTAAGTTTGTATCTACTACTTTTAACCAAATTGAAGCTTGCGTGACGATATTGATTTTTGCTTGGAAAACTCGAAACCACTTTAAATTAATTAGAACAGTTATGGCGAACTTATAGATATTCACATATACGTACATACGTAGATATGAACCTTAGAGTCTATAGAGAAATCTAAGAAATTGCTTAAACTAGTTTGATTTCACTTTCATTAGCTTAATTTAATTTCAAGCGAACATGTGCACTACTGGATTTTATGGCTACACACATGCAAACTTATATACATATGTACATATATGAAACTCAAAATACAATACACCCATCCAAGCACACTCAACCACTCACACAAACATCGCTTGTCTTCGTTTTTTTTTTTATTCGTTGGCGTTGTCGGCACGAAATCAATTTCTTGCCTCGTTGGACTCTCAAGTGCCTCAATGGCCATTAAAGTATAAAAGAGAAGATGTAACACAATTTAACGACCGTCGACCAACGACCGCCAATAACAGCAGCAACAACCAAATCCGTTAACAACTACATGGACATGCTGTTATGTATATGAAAAGTTTAAGAACCCTCAAAGTTGTTTATGCCTCCGCTTGCTTGCGCGATTTTTCCAAACCGTCTTCAAAGCTGCTCTGCCAGCCACGTCGTTCAACGCTCTTGGATTCTAACTATGTCTCCTTAGTTTTTGTTTTTGTTCGTTTAGAAATTGGCACAACTGCGAGTAAATTCTTGTTTGAGGATTTTTTTGCCTTAGTATAACTTACTATGTATACATGATTGTAAGTATGCAGGTAAGAGGCAAATTCGCTTGTCAAGATAACCGCAGTAAAAGCGACAATGGCTGTAAAAGTTTATAAATAGTGTACTAACATTGTGTTAGAAAAATTTAAAAATAAACGCCAAAAGCATTTAAAAGCAGTGATACATAGGGACGTACATATCTAAAAGATGCCAAGAAGAAACCTGCAAATCGTTTCTACATTCTGGATTCTTTATTATCAGGTGCAGCAAAAGTAAGATCAGGTCCACCGTAAGGTCTCTCTTCAACGCAACAAAGCACGATAACCGGATGGACCTTTCATTTTGTGAGCTATTTTAGCCGGCAATACATATTGAGGGCCCAGTTACCCACCGACGTAAAACCGGACACCGTGTCAGTTGTCACGACCTAGCTAATGGGATTTTCGAACGAAAATTCACCACCGCATGACAGTGACGTTGTCTTTGCTTCTATTTCTCTCACTATCAAATCAACAGCAATTTTATGTGTTTATACGGACGGCAAGTACGGGAGGGCGGCTCCATCGGTGGGTAACAGACGCATAAGTCCAACCAAAAGCGTCACGTTAAACAGTTGCGAAGTTCGGGTTGGGCGGTCGTCGAAGTGGCTGAGAAATTAATACTGCCCGGTTGGAACCACGCTCGATACCTACCGCATAGGTTGCACGTCTGCAAATATTTATATATTTTTCATTTGGGTGTAGCTAAAAAATAAATTTTTCGATTTCGAAATTCTAATAGTGCAGAAAAGGTGTGTAACCTCACGTAACGGCCACCTCACTAGCATAAACTCTCTCTTATGACCATTAGCCTATAATCAAAAAACTCATGATTTCAATTGTAAAACGTTTTTTTTTATAGTGGGCTAAATAAAAACATTTCGCATAAAAAAATTTTTCAGTAAAAAAATATTTTTTTTTCTAAAGTTTACGTTAATTTTAACTAAAGCGTAATTTTTTCCAAACTTTTTATTAAAAAAAATTTTAGCTAATCACAGTTTTACCCATAAAATACTTTTTTCCAAAACTAAGTACTTTTAAAACATTTTAAATTTTTTTTTACTAAAGCGTAATTTTTTCCCAACTTTTTATTAAAAAAAATTTTAGCTAATCACAGTTTTACCCATAAAAAAAAACTAGGTACTTTTAAAACATTTTTAATTTTTTTTGAGTTGTTTTTCCCGAAAAAATCTTTCCAAATATTGGTTTTTTTCCCAAAGAAATACTTTTTTGGCCCATTAATAATTTTTCCATAGTTAAGCTTTTATAATTCAGATAAACGTCATTTTCTTAAAAAAAAATTTGTTAGAAAAAGTTTTTGCCCCAAATATGTTTTCCTAAATATTACTCATTTCCCTTACATTTTTACCCGCAATAAATTATTATCATATTGGCAAAAATATTTTTTCAAGACAAAAATTTAGCGCAAAAGAAATTTTTTCCCAAAATATGTTTGTTTATAATGCTTGGTAACTGTTTAATTTGAGTAAACATATTTATCTCTTATTTTGTCTTAGATTTTTCCATGCAAAAGGAAATAGAACATACTTTTTATGGAAAACCTGCGAGACAGTGTCAGCAAAAAACTATAAAAGATCCATTATTTGAGAGATCTATCAAAACTTGAATGCTTTTCGGGCGAACGTAAATATTATCCGATCGGAAACCGGTTTAACACGGTTCAATGTGATCATGTTTATTGTGCTAGTTCTGATGCAAAAATGAAAAAGGAAACGCATAACGTTATCAGAGAAGATGTACCGCGAATTGTTAGGGTTGTCGATAATTTTTATTAGTAATGTGTTGAGATCAAATTAAAATATGGAGCCCATACTGCTCTCAAACATTTGTTGCTGAATGTGTAAAATATGTATCTCTTGGGCGCGTCAGATCCTATGTATATTCATACATATATACGGCTACTAAACCAAAACTATATCGCAAACAACTATGTGGCAGATAAATTGCTAGAAAGGATACACGAGTTGGTTCCAACGAGTAGACTACTCTAGGATAGATAGTCTTTTGTCAACTACGCAGGGGCGCTGGGCGTGGTCAAGAACATACATATGCAACATCAATGTCTTTCTGTACTCTAGTGAAGCAGTATCGGCAAGCGAAATTTTTTGATTTCGCAAAGCGAAAAATCCATCACTCTGTGTTTGGATTAAATAGACTAGGTGCGAGTATCACAACTGAAGCACTTTGTTGCAGCTGATTGAAGGATAAAGAGGTGATTCTTAGACCAATTAGTTTTAACAAAGTACCGTTTCTAAGCTCCTGCATTGGCCAATTTGCACGCTTTCTCCCTACCTTCTATGTATACAAATGCCCCAGTCCTGAAGGTATTCGTTGCGGTACACGCTGGTTAAAATGCTACAGCTAAAACTGCTGCCTGGCTATCAGAATAACTCAGTGCCACATACATATTCAGAACTTCAGATTGGAATATGCTGGGCAACCGCAGGTACTGAGCGATACCAATCCAATCCTTTTACACCGCAGTCAATTTTGCACCCTTGATTGTAGATATGAACGGCTTCGTTATCCAAATTTGGGTTTTCTACATTCCCTTTCGGAATGGTAAACATTTATGATTTTTGCGTGTAGTCCGTGGATTTATTTGCTATCAGAATATCTCCCATAAATGAGGCTAGTTCGAAAGTCCTTGTTCGGAACTGTCTGCGGTTTTGCAGTAGTTTAGCAGCTAGCATTCCAAAGAGAGTAGTACAAAGGTAATATTTCTCATGGTATAAGTGGTTCTCATGGACCTATCACTTTAACCTAATATACCCGCTACCAATAATGTGTTCCAGGTACCCTTTTTGATTTTAAAATAAAACATAAAAAGGTACATACATATAAGAAATAAGAAGTGTATGCCACCTTCCAATTTGTTGTGGAAAGTTTCGCTGTTCAAAGGAACTGAGTAACTATTACATAACCAAACATGTAAATTTTCCTAAAGCAAAACTATTTCCCAAGCACTCTCTCAACTATGTATATGAAACACCTATGTATATATGTATGCAAATTTGATTCCGTTGATTCTCATTTACATATTTTCCATATTTTCTTCTGTCTCAAACAGACGCGTCCACATCACCAAGGAGACACTCAAGTGTTTGGATGGCGATTACGAAGTGGAGGAGGGCAAAGGTGCCGAACGAAACACATATCTGAAAGATCATCAAATCGAAACTTATCTCATAGTGCCAGGTGATATTTATCGACCGGTAAGTGTACGAGTGTGTATGTGTGTGTGTGTGGGTACGTATGTAATAATTAATAATGCACAAAGTCCACCTGATACCAGGCACGTGTTGCAAACGCGTGACTGCCCGCCAACATTTGTATGTACGTATGTGAAAGCACGTGTATATTCAGTGCATCCAACTGAATTTGCTACATGTAAAATAAATTATTTATGTACATACATACATACATACATATAAATATACATATGTATAAGCAAATAAGACGGGTTATGCAAAGCGTCAAAAGCCAATGAAATAAGTGCCTAAAATAGTAGCATAGAAAAACTGAGTGCTGCAATCGTAGTACTAAAACATAAATAATTTTGCCTCAACAAACAAAAACAAAAAAAAATCCTTTATTTTCATGTTTATATTCATATGTACGTGGACACATGTGTGCATCCGTGCGTGCGTGCAGCACAAGAAATCACGCAACCGACTGCAGGTGAATGGCAACATTTCCAAGGAGCTGCGGATGATGGGACACGCTGGCACACAGAAGAATGCCTCCAAGTGAGTAGACGAATTGAATTGACGGCAAAATGTTTTATTTTTATATTTCGCAGCTTGTGTGCTTCACCTTTTCTACTTGCTCTATTTTTGGTTTTGGCTTCTATTTAACAGTATTTTTTTTTAAGTCCTCATATGCTACATACGAGTAAATTTGGTTCTCCATGTAATTAATGTGCGAATATATTTATTTACAGATTTGGCTTTGGCGACAGCGCGGAAGGTGCTAAAGATCCAGAGGATGAAGTGAATGAGTATTTGATGCGTGCGATAGATGCACGTAGCATTGACCATTTACGTGCGGAGCATTGTCAGTCGGTGTTTTTGTCCTTCAAGGATGATGAGCTGGAGAAAAAGGTGAGTGCGTGACTGAAGTGAAGAGTGTAAAAGGTTCATTGGTTGTAATAATATTTTATGTTTTCACTTCAAGCGGGAAAATAATAAAATTTGTCTTTTTCAAATGTTTTCTTTTTTTCTACATTAGTACGGATCGGAGCCAGATCGTATGCTGAGTGTGTATTTCTACTGCAGTTTTATTGTACTAGTCACCACTACCGTTATTAGATTTTCAGCGTTTAAACCGTAAGTTGCTTATATGTATATGAAGTCTAATATTGACGGTCGAAACACTTCTGTATTTTTCTGAAATCTCGAAAGCTTGTTAATATGATAAACTACAAAATATACGCCGGATATTATATTTGTGTGCAATAAATTCCAAACTCTTAGTTAATATTGTTTTGAAAGTATTTACAAAGTAGGCAGATTTTTCAAATTATAAACAAATTTGATTTAAGCTTTTATGGAACATAAATTTATAAACGGTCTTAAAATATTTTTTGCGCACAACAAATATTGAATCAATAAACCTCTGAAGAAAGTGTGCGATATGTGGGATGGTCCCAAAAAAAGTAAAGGCGAAATGTTAATGCTCTCACCTCCTAGGATGGTTCTGTACCGAAAAAATATATCCCCGCTTTTTTTTTAATTCAAAAATATTTACGAGGTCACTCAAAAGCGCTTAAAGTGATTCATGTATTTTTTATATATGTATATTAAAAAAAAAGAAGCAATTTTTCATAGAAATGGTATAGATTTCGTGAAAATCCATATTTTTCGTTCGGAAATATATTATAGTTATATTATATCGTCACGGCTTAATAGATTTCTTTTTTAAGCTGAACATTTATGTATATATTTTTTTACTATATATATCTCCATTCGTTTTGGCTGTTACAAACTACCGTTATGTGAACTAATTATGCTACCCTTGTGCACAAGTGCTCTCGGGTGTAAAAACAGGCATAAATTTTTTTGGTAGAGAACAATCCTAGGGGGTGAGAGCACTAAAATCCCGACTCGAATTTTTTACCACTCTAATGTAGAGTCGAGTTACAAAACTATAAATTTAATTTCCAGAAGGAAGTGAATTTTTTACCTACTTTCTAGATACCTTTAAAACAATATTAACTAACACCCAAATTCATACAAAGTAAAGAAAACTTTAAATGCTTTATATGTAAATCGAAAACTTTTGTTGGCATTTATAAAGCTCTTTTAATCTAATAAAGGGGTTTCGAGTTAGAAGGAATAAAAACAGCATATTTGAGCATTTGTTTAAAATTTTTTCTTTTTTTTTAATTTTTTTAATAGTCGGCTTTTCCACAGGTGGCAACTTTTAAAAAAAGATTTTCTAGTAAAACTTTCTCAAACAATTTTCATCTTTTAACAATCTTGTAAAATTTAATTTTTTTCAATATTTTTAGTTTTTACTATTTAGATAGGTGACGACTCAATTGAAAATATTTCTGAAAAAAAGATTTCTCAAATACCTTCGTGTGATAGCCATATTGTATAATTTAGTTTATCTTATCAATTCAATTGAGTTAAATTTTTCAAATACAGTGGTTGCATCCCGTCTCAAAAATATTTTCGACAATATTTATGAACATCCGGTCTATGGTGGATTTGCCGGGCCTAAAGCCACACTGATTAGGCCCAATCAGTTTGTTGGCGGTGGGTTTCAGTTTTTCACACAATACGCTCGTTAACAGCTTGTAGCCTATGCGTGGAAGGCTAATCGAGCGTTAGCTGGCGTAATTATTAAAAATGTTTGCTGTTTTATTCGAAAAGCGTGCATCAATTTCTATTTTAGTGCTAAATGAAATATGCCATTGCCTATGGCCAGTACATCTAAATTTACGACCACATAAATGTTATTACTAATATAATCAATTAAATTTCGTTCACTATATGTTCACTTGCTATTTTCAGGAATTTACTCACCATCACCACTTCATGTGCAACAATTGTTATCGTCATGCTAATTTCACTACTCGTCGCCGCTCATGTGATAAATATGAATGTACGTATACGCCATGGCAGTCAAGTGACATTAGAAGTCGTTTTTTATTATATTTTCGCTCTCCATTTACCATTCACATGCACATACATATTCAATTTCAAATGCAGTTTTTGTTTTAATTCTTTTTGTGTGTCAAAAATTTTTGCGAAAATCGAATTTCATTGGAAATAGCAGTTTTATTCAATTTAAGAATATTTTTAACAAATGTAACTACATACATATGCACCAATTGTTTTCCCATTGACTACATACATACGTGTGTACTTACGTATTTACTTAGCTGTGCCAGTATGCTGCGCAAATATGTATTTTACCATACACATTTCTCTGTTTATATGTTTATTTTCAGCTACCGATTGGCATCAAGAGATTCTCTTCACGTATCCACAGCAATCGCCTGCTAGCACAGTGCTTTGCTTTTTTAACAGTCACACTGATTGCCTTGACAACTGTGCTGACAATGGTGAGTAGCAAATAAATAAATATGCATTGAATGTTGCATATTATGCATGACTCTTTTTCAAATGCGTACATATTTGGTTTTTATGTACACAATGAAATTGGCATTTTTTGTGCACAAAGGTATTAAAAGTAGTTATTCATGATTTTTCGTTATTACCTTTCCCATGTAGTTTACATTGATACGATGCTTTTATATCAAGTTGTTATTTATCATCGAAGTAAGTTATGTAGTAAATATTTTTGCAGTGCGTACTTAAAACTATTTTATCTCACAGGAATTTGATATATTGACCAAAAATACTTCATATTGAATATTTAAAATATTCGTAGACCTCACTCAGCGCGGAGAAAGCGCCAGAAAATGTTTATTTCGTGTTAATTTTCAGCCACGCTTGAGTAAATATTGACTCAGAGAAATATGTCGGTTTTTATATAGATATGTACATAAATAACCTGACCAAGAATTCTTCTTAAATTGTGTAATTGAATCGTACAAGAAAGGTGCTTTTTTTCGCAAAGGAAAAGTCAAATAAATCAATAAAGCTTGCAGAAATCAGAACCTCCGCTAAACTCCACTAAACACAAACAACCAAGAAGCGATGTTGTTGTAAATAAATCAAGAATTTGTGGCAATAAAATTACTTATTTTATTTAATTAATTATTAAGTTACTCTCGAATTTCATGTTTCTATAGTTTTTTAAGAGCCTTGGAGAGGTTTTCTAGCTTAGCACGTCGTTTAACTTATAGTTCCTGCTTTAGAACTGAAGCGTGACTACAATTTTTTATATCTTTGAAGGCCTTCGGAGGACTTTACCGGGATTTGGAATTGACCCGATACATAAATTTTTTCGACAAAGTTCGATGATTTGATACATATCGATAATTCGATGAATGTGAAAACTACCGAGAACTCAACACAATTAGATAACTCGAATAATTTTTGCAACTGTGCGTTTCAGGGGTTTGATAAATTTCGTTAATTCAAAAATTTATATATCTCTAAACAAATCGATAACTCCATGATTTATAGATACCCCTATAAAGTTCGATAATTCGGTGAATTTTGATAGCTCAATGTTTTTCAAAAGCTTTCGACAAATTCGATAACTCGTTGCACTGTGCTAACACGCTAAAATTCGATAAGCAGTGATAACTCGTTAAACTTATATAACCCTCGATTCGATAAATCGAGAAATTTCAGTAAATCAATAAATTTCGATAACTCTATAAGTTGAAAGAGCGCAATTCATTACGGTAACTCGTTCATTTAATGATAATTCAACAAATATCGATAATTTGATAAATTTCATTAACTTAACAAGTTTCGATGGCCCAATAAACGTTTATAGTTCGATAACTAACCGTAAATTTCGACAGATAAGTTTCTGTGTCTACAAATTTTGACAGCTCAATAAACGTTAATCAATTTGAATAATTCGGATAGCTAGAACTATAAACTTCGATAAATGTCGGTAAATCGATAACTTTCGATAAGTAAATTTTTTATGACTGAATTTCTTACGATTCTTATCGAATGAATTCAATAAGTTTTTTAAACCCTCTCAGTTACTCTAATTGTTATGTATTTCTCATTGTTTCAATTTTGTCTTCACTTTTTTGTCTTACGAAGCTTTCAATGTGTGTATATGTAGATACTTCCTTGGGAGAAGTTTAATGATTTTTGGTGAGCTTTAATCTACTGACATTAGGGTGGTACGCTAGGGTAGACCGATATATCATACTTTAAGATCCAGCTTTAAATGCCGAAGATATGACAAAAAAATAGAGAAAGGCTACCTCAACGTTCGGCAAACAACTTTTTTCGAAATTGCCTTGAAAAAATACTTTAGACTTAGGGGTACGGTACCGGCATGGTCCAATGTACAATAAACATACATTAGCTTGTTTGTATGCGTATCTTACGTATAAGCAGATCCTTTAAGCATACATATAATCCTACTCAGAAGAGTTTGGTATGCTTCGTTAAGCGGATTTATACGCAAAATAAGTTGTGGGCCTTATCTGCAGCTGAAAGGAAATAATTTTTGTGCCTTTCGGTTAGAGGCCACAAATGATATTTAACGGAAAAATATTTCAATACACAAATAACGAAATGTACATATTTATAACGAGTACACATACAGATGCTTTTGTGAATATACATACATACATTTAAATATTTATGCATAAGTATAATGTTCATAAATTTGAAATCGAATCCATATGCATGTACATTAGGGTGATACAAAAATGCATGTCAAAAAGTGGAGTCGGAATTTTTATGCTGTCACCCCCAGGATTGTTCTTTACCGAAAAAATATACCTTTATTTTTATTTTTAAATCAAAACCACTTTTCGCAGAAATGATATAGAATGAAAATCAATCTTTTTAGATCGGAACAAATCTGCTTCTCTTCAAGAGATTTTCAATAATAATACCCAATTATTTATTTAACCATTTCATTTCATATTAAACTATATTTTAAAGGTCCGCCAATATCCCCAGAAAATGCCAGAAAATGCAATGGCCGGATAAATGAAAATCTTTAGTATTAAAAAATGGTTAAATAAACAATTGAATATTGTGGTTGGAAGTCTCCTGTAGAGAACCAGAGATTTCCGATAGAAAAATATTGATTTTGAAGAATTCCATACCATTTCTACGAAAAGTTGTTTTTTCCATATAAAATACATACCTCTAAATACTTTTTGATTTCAAACTAAAAAGTAGGGTTATACTTTTTTTCGATATATAATAATAATAATTCTTGGGGGTGAGAGCATTAAAATTCCGACTTTACTTATTTTGCACCACCCTAATGTACGTATGTACAGTACAACAGAGATTAGAATTTTTATTCATATTTTTCCATATGCGAGTACGAAGATGAAACACAAAAGTTTTGGGATTGTATGTACACTTGTATTTTGCGCAAAGAATTTCAATTCAGTTTTTAATGTACCCTGCAACTAATCAAACTGGTTCAAAAATTCGCGCAGAGCTAATTTGAAAGTGGTCGGCACCGGCTCTTCATCTATCCCATATCCATGCTTTCAATTGTCTTTTAATATGGTCGTGTCCTTGGAAGTAGCGATTGCACCACCTATGCAGAACTTATGCACTCGTTCTGAACTGGTCAAACTGGTTTTGGAAATATCTGGGACAATGTGTTTTTTATGAGCAAACATTTTCAAGATTCGATTTTTGGAATTTTCTTTGTTTTTTATTTTTTGTACAGATTGCATTTTATGTTATTTTTATTAAATAATATTAAATAAGTCGTTTCTCAGTTTTCATGCAAACATTTTAGTTTATTAATTTTGAAAACACACAACTGCTTCCACTGCATTTGAACTCGCTGCCATCGAGTTCATTTTTGATAATTAAAAACTTCAAATGAGCAATGAATATTGAAAAAAAAAAATAGTGTTATGAACAAATATTTTAAGTGCATTTAAATGCTCAATGCCTGCGAAAACGCGGCCATGCTCCATTTTAAGCAACAGCTAATTTCTGAAGCAAAATTATGTATGCAGCTGGTTTCTTTACTATTCCAGCAGACTTGTATATGTACAAAGAAAAATATGATCTACAGGAACAAGAAAATTGTCTCTATGAAAAGTTTCTAGGCTTAGGCGTAAAACAGACGAAAAAACGAAGAAAATTTCATAGACATTAAAAGACAATTGAAAGAAAAAATTCTTATTTATTTTATTAATAAGAATATATTTTAAAAATCGTAGAGAAAATCTGCTTGATTGCCTCATTTAAAGAGATCCACTTCTTAATTTGATGAAATATCTTCTTGAATTAATTTTAAATTCGTATGATTAAATAGAATAGTGGCGGTAAGGCGACCCCCGTAGCCGAGCAAGTAGGGCTTTAAGCTGCCATTCGGTAGGCCTTCGGTTCGAGGACAGATGAGCGTAGACTTGTTGTTTTCTTTGTTAGCTTTTAATTAGGTAATTTAATAAAAATAGAGAGAATTGTCCCTGGATTTCATTGAAAAGATAATCCTACTAAAAAGAATAAGTGTTTTTTTCTTGAAGAAATCCCATAGAGATATCTTCTTAATTTTGTCTTATTTTATCTGATGGTTTTCGCGAAATAAAGAAAAAATGAAGCAAGTAAAAAACTAACGGATGTTAGCAAAAATCTCTGGTGCGTTTTTGGAATGGGAAAGCGGTAGGTTGTTCGATTATTCGGATTTTTTCCAAAACCGGCTTTCAAGTTATTCGAAAAATTGCAATTTGGAAAAAACCCGGTTCACGATTTTGAAATTCAGAAAAAAATCGTATAAACCGATATATTTTACATAGCTTTCATATAGTGAAAATGCTTATACTGGTATGAAGTTATGACCAAAAACTACAATAAAACTATTGAGAGTAAAGATAGTTTTTATTTAGAAAAGAGAAAAACATAGTAAGGTCAAAGTGTCTACTGTCGCTCGGTTTATTCGATATTCAAAAAATCAAGATTTCTAAAAACTGCCTATAGATATCCAAAAAAACACCGGTGGAAACCGGTTTAGAAAAACTAAGTAGATCGTCCTAAAAAGAGGGTATCTTTCCTGGGGTATATATAGTAGCTAAAAATGTATATCTTCCTGTTCCTCAGTAGCTTGCGAGTGTCTTTTCCCTAAAACAGGTACTGATATTATCTAAACAGAAACGAACGGCTCAAGAGGAATGAAAGTTAAGCTTTTTATTACTTGCTTAGCTGCTCCATTAGTGAACCAAAGGGATACAAACATGAAAGTTGCGTTCCGTAAATTTGTTGTTTTAACTTTTCCTAACATCCTTACTTCTTCCTTGTCGATGTTTTTAACATCGAAGTTTTTTCTGTCGTCATCGCGAAACTATTTGCAACCGCTTTGCAATAGTTGGGAGACAGTTCGGAAATTTGTTGGGGGGACTAGTGCTTTGCCAGACTGCCTAGAAATTTTTCTGCAGGGTATATTCATCAATTTGTAACACCTTAAATGATTCGGTCGCGCAGAAATGTACACATACAATACACATATGTACATACATACATAAGTCAGATAGTATATTTACATATAAGGCGAACTTAAGTTTCAGCATTTGCATTTGAATTGAGTTTGAAATTCAAAAGTAAATAGATTCTGTAGAAAAAAAGAAAGTTTGTAATGAAGTGTAGGATAGATGATAAAGTTTTTATGCACACACGTGCATACATTAACAAATACCGTGTAGCATCTAGAATCTATACATATGCTTGGTATCAAATTGACTTCAATAAAGAAGTCTTATTTGAAATGAGATTCCAAGAAAACCACAAATTGTACATACACACACAAAGTATGGTTCTTATAGTTACTTCGCACGTATTTAAACTTTGACTTCAAAGGTACGAACTTTGTGCACCAACATATTACTTTTTGAAGTAAAATAATACGAATAAAAAAATTATTTACTTATTTTTGGATAGTCGTATATTGCATGCACAATTTTTGCTTCATGAGGTACAGAACAAACAAATATGATTAAAAAACATTTTTGTAGTAAAAAAAAAAAAACTTTAGAAAGGGCAAAGTTTTAAACAAATTCGGCGTTAGCACCAAAATACTACATACACGCAGGCATCATAAATGAGCTAACCCTTGCTGGGATTACTTAACATTTTCACATAATTTTCAGTATTAATTTTGTATACCTGCAAGCAAGGGCTGTAAATAGATACCTTGATTAAGCTCCACGAAGGTTAAACGTAATTTGCTGCATTTTGCGATTAATGAGCTTAAGAATTAGAGATGTTAGCAAATTGAGGCTTTTGCTCCACTTAACTTTGCGCACAATAAAGTTGGTACTATATTTTTGGTAATTCACCAGATTTAGTGGCCATTTACTATTAAGCTAGGAAAATTCTCTTTCACATGCAGACGTGTGCATTTAGTAGGTAACTAGTAGTATGTATGAAAGTCGCACTAGCGCAGACACAAGCTCCATAGCAATGAAAAAGATAACATAACTACATACATACAAATAACAAAATGATCAACAAAGTAACAAGCAACAAGTAACAAAGTTTTCGTAATAAAACTCTCATTAAATTGCTATAAAATTGCAAAGATGACTGGGATAAACAAAGAACCAAGAAGCGATGTCGGTGTAAATAAATTGAGAATTTGTGGCATTGAAGTGAGCAAAGTTTACGAAAATTCGGTGTATATGTATTAGTGTGTTTCTTTAATAATGCGCACAAATAGCCAATTGGCGTGTGTATGTTTATCCATGGGTGTCCTTTTTATTTTCATATAAATAAATATATGTACATTAGGGTGTATCACTCTACACAAAAAAAGAAGGGTACTGTTTTTTCAAGGGAAACGTAAAATTTATTATATTTTAAGGCTTTCGCCAAAATATTTCGAAAAAAATATAAAGATTTGCGTGAGCTGGACCGCTTTGAAAATACAAACTTTTTAAACTTTTTTTCCAAAGATCTCCTCTGATTAAAGAAGAGTCGAACTTTTAAAGGTCTGCATAACATTTTTGAAAATTGTAACAGGAATTAAAATAATGAGATTTTTGGAGATATTTTTAAATCGTTCCCGCTCAAGTATATCTTAATATTTTTCTGAAATATTTTGGCGGATGTCTTGAGATATAATAAAGCTTATAATTCCGTTGGAAAAAATGCAAGGCACTTCCGAGAAAAAAGATTGAACCAAATTTGCGTATTTTTATCGACAGAATTCGAATCTGTAGTAAAACATGTTTATTGAAAAAAATGGACTTCGGGTCAATTTGATCCACTTCTGGTCCAAACCGGAAAATGTTTCAGACAAAAGGAAACATTTTTAAGTCCTGCATCCGAATCAGCGTTAAAAGTATCTAATCCAATTTAAAAAAATGGAGTTCCGGTATAATCCATTTCCGGTCGAAACCGGAAGTTGGTAATACGACCAAACGATGGAACGTCCACGACTTGGTAATTCAAGAAAATTTCGTCCATTTTAGAAGTCCAGGACAAGTTGAAGCTCGAAGGTCATTTAGGGGTTGATAATGGCGCTTCTGAGAAAAAAGTTTCAAACAAAAGTTACGTATTTTTATCCTTAGAATCCGAATCTGTACTAAAAACATGCATATCTAATTTGAAAAAATGGACTTCCGGTCAGTTTTACCCACTTCCGATGGAAACCGTAAGTCGATAATACATACCATCAAAATATAGAGCATCCTCGATTTAGTAGGTAAAATTTTGACGGTTTTCACAAAAAAAAACATTTCCCTCCATTTTAGAGGAGGTGGGCAGTTGGTCTAGGACACCCTGTATAATAGTACTTTCAGATGCAGAAAAAACTTAAGAAAATAAAACAAAAGTCTTTAGGCATTACCGCAAATTCGTCGGCATTTGAAACAGCAACAGGCGTACCAAAATGATTATATGAATTAAGTGGCACATAAATGTGGGGCGCATTTACTGGCATTGCCTGGCCTTTAGAGCCATCAATGAAAGCGAATGAATAGCACGAACACAAAAATGGCGCTAAGTGCGAGTTACTTTCGTCACAAGTGTTTCCCTCTGCTTTTGATGGCTGCTGTTGTAAAGTGTGATAATAAATATATGTACATACATACTTACATGTCCTTAGTACATACATATGTACATATATTACAGGGTATAAGGATTTATGTTTACGTATACAGTACCTATCTACCTACCTTTTTTACTGCCAAAAGTTTCAAGAGCAAGTCTCTCTTGTCTGTGATTAAGATGCATACATGTAAAGGTTAATGTGTTATGGTTTGCCATTTGCACTCCGAAAGAAAAAATTTGTTGTAAACAAAACACCAAAATAGAAGGGCAACCAAAATGGCAATCATTCATGTAGCAACATTTTTTTGCAAGTAAACAAAACATTGCCACGCAAATCAAGTGAACAGTGTGAAAAGTTTGACAGCCATGTGTCTACTGCTCAGAGGTTACCCGCACACATATTTAAGCAGACGTTTTGCGCACCCACAGAGCTTATGTGCTTGTGTGAGTATTATGTACATATATTTACATATTTGTGTACATTTGCTAGAGTTTAGTACTTGACACAGCCTAGGGGCACAGTGATGGCGGTGTTGAAACCTTAATGGAAAAACTTTTTCTACAAGTTGGTATTTAAACACAGACTGTTCAGAGCTTCTTTTTTTCTGTTTGTGTATTTGCTTTCGTACTTATTTATGTACATATCTATCTTTAACACATGTGTAATAGATATATTTACTAACAACGTACCAACTTGTTTTATGTATGTATATATAGTAATGTAGTTGTTGTTTGCCAACCTAACCAAAACTGTGATTGTGAACCCAACAACTTTGTTTTTTTTTTTATTATAAAAGCTTGCATCATAACTGTAGGATATACCCACTAGAACTCAAAGGAAGATCTCCTTATGTGTGGAATAAAATATTACTCGCTTTGGCCTGATTCCGGAGCAATAAGTGAGATTTGTCAGATTTGACCTCCTTTATAACTCACATAGGAGACAAATGGGAGATCTCCTGAAGAATGCTTCCCCTCTAATGTCAAAGAAGTCACACACAGCAATAACTTTTGCCCATACTAACCAATTCGATTATAAAGTTCTTTTAGCAAATTTTCTATTCTGAATAAATATTTTGGCATATCTCAGGAACTTTTTATTTTAGACTAGAATATGTACTATTATAAAATCATTTCCCTCTCCAATTTGACAGGCATATGAAATTTTCTACAGCGTTGATTTTGAAAACTTATCAGCGAGCAGTCAAAGCCATAAACTTCAGCCCACCTATGAAATTTTAGCGCCAAATGCTTCAAATGAGTTCAAAGCAACTGATGAAACTGATTTTACTTCCACCGCCAGCTCGCAAGGCAACGCTGCAGCTGACTTTAACTGTGATTATTTTTTAGCTATAAATGTAAGTATTGAACTTAGTATGCAACTACAACAAAGTTTTCGTTAGTTGCATATTTTTTTGGAAGCGCCAAAAATTAAATTTAAGGTTACGATATGATTCTTCTAAGACAAGTTGTATAATTCTATACTTATAAATGCAAAAAAAACCAAAATCCTTCTATTACTAAAATAATCAATTAAAAATATATATACTATAAATATGTACATACATTTGTGCGTCAAAATTTAGAACGTAGAGCATTATTTACGCAATCAATTTCTAATAAAAGTGCCTCAAGTTGTTTGTATTTCGTAAGTTTGTGTGCCTTTTGCAATTCACTGGGTTTCTTAAGCCATGCTCAGACATTGCTGACGCCTTCCAAGAAATATGATATTATATAATTTCAATAACTTTTGTTTCCTTTACATTCTCCCATCGTAGACATTCTTGCTGCTGACGCTGTTGTCGATGATGACTTGTGCCACCTATCAAGTATTGCGTATTGTATTGAAATTGTTATTGCTGCTACTTCTCGCTTCATTCTATACTGGCTTCTCAATGTACCTGTATACGCGCAAGGATATTCGCTTCATGCTGGAGTGAGTATCGATTTCAATCTGGGTGTTATTGCTGTACTTCTTCTTTAGTGAACTTTATTAAAACAACTAGAATTTTTTTTTTAATTTTATCATTAAGTTGTTTCAGTTGCATGTTTCTCAGTCATATTTCAGTACTTTTTTAATATACCTTTTCGTGTGAAAATGCGTAAAATTTAGTTTTTTTGACTGTGACGGGGAAACCGGCCATGTTTTAGGTAGCAACTATCTAGGTCTATTTTTTCAAATACTTGTAGCCTCATTTCGACGGTTGAGTGGAAGATCGACCTATCTCGGCAGCCAGTCCGAAAACGTCCTATCTCAGAAAAATTTTCAAGAACGCCCAATCCCAGCTGCGGATTCAAAAATGCCCTATCTCAACATATTTTCAATATATTCTCAGTTAAGATAGGGCGTTTTTGAACTGGGTGCCGCGATAGGTCCATATCACACGCAGCCTTCGTTATCTTTATGCTTTGTTAGAGAAAAGGCAAAACTGAATCAATTTACACTAATCCGCCTTTGACGTTAATGAATTTAATTAAAAAATTTGGAACGTAGTAATTCATAGATTTCAAAAATCAATATACTCATAAAACTGCGGTTCAAATGTAGTAACACTGCAGTATTAGTTTTTTTCTCTCACGTCAGGATTATTTTAAAACTTTGAAATTTGAAAGAAATTATTAACTCCAAAAATGATTAAAAAAAAATAATATAATAACAGTATGGTTACCACCTGAAAGGGAAAATTCTTTAGAATTAAAAAAAAATAAACTTTTCTGGTTCACAAGGACGAAAGAGTATTGAAAATGTCCTTTTAATAAATTTTATTTTTTCTAAACTAATATATGTGTGTATATCATGATAAAATTTTTTCATAAATCAATATCGATAACTTTTAAAGCACATTCTCAATACCTATTCGCCTTTGTGCACCAAAATTTTTAACTTTTTCCAATTCTAGAGAATTTTTTTTCTCTCCTTTGATGGCTATATTTTATTCTAAATTGCACTGAATTTTTTAAATATTTTACTGAATTAATCACATCTTTGAAATTTCAAAGACCTTTAAAAAATGCTGACGTTTGAGAGGAACCAAAAAAAATCGGAAAATTGGCATGGCACCGACCACTTGCGCCTACATACACTGGCGGCAAAAGTAATAGACTCGGCACACTTTGAAGAGTTTTGGCTATATTTCTTTAGTTTGTTTTATCTTTAATATTTTTTCATAAAAGCCTAGGTAGTTATACAAAAAACATCATATAAATCCCCTTTTTAAACTTTGCACATAAATTATTAAAAAAAAATTGGTATGCAGTTTTGTAGCCCATTGAATTTCAGTATAAAAAAGTTCCAGTTTGGATTGGCTACAAAATACCGTTAATTTTTAAGATTTTTTTTTTGCTGACGGTGTCACGCATTTTTTCCCATACAAAGTGTGCTCGAAATTTTTTTATATGGAAGAGAATGCTTAGCATCGTCAACAAAAAAAAAAAAGTAAAAAATCAACGGCATTTTCTAGCCGCTTGAATCTCACACTTTATTACACTAAAATTGACTACAATTGGCTACAAAACTGCATACCAAAACTTTTTCTACAAATTCTAAATAAAAAGTTTGAAAATTTTGTGCAAACTTCTCAAATTTTTATAATTTTTGTTCACAGTTTAAAAAACGGATTTATATGATGTTTCTTGTATAACGACCAAGGCTTTTATAAAAAATATTAAACAAAAAATAAACTAAAGAAATATAGGCAAACCTCTTCAAAGTAAGGCGAGTATATTATTTCTGCCTCCACTGTGTGTGTATCTCGGTTGCCAGTTTATCAATTTCTACCTAACTCGGCACATTTATCAACCTTGACGTAATAAAGCAATATGATGAAAATTTTTGAAATCGGGCTAAAATTATCACCACTTACCATATAACGGTAAATTTCAGATAAACGAAAACTACGATATTTCAATAACCAAAGACGCCAACTTACAACAATCTCTTAACAAGACACAAGTTTATTGATTCTTGTAAAATGGGCGTGCCGCCACCAACTTATGACTACATAAATGTATATCGATAACCGCCTTATTGTTTCCCATCAAACTTGGTCCAATTTTTTCAATATATCATAGCATATTATCGAAACTGTTTGACATCGGGAAATTAACTCTTGCTTATCATGCACTTTACTGAAGAGTGAAGAAAACCATATTTAATACGTGCGCCGGGTATAAAAAGTTCGCTTTCGCCCGAAACTTATACATCTTTACTTATTTTCGAGTATGGTTTAATATACGTACATATTTACAGTAATATTCATACATGCGATTAAATGAATAACTTTTTAAAATGAATGGCTCAATATTATTGATAACCGCCTAATACTTAAAATTTTTTTTCGAATAGCAATTATTTCATTAAATTTTAATAGCCTTATTAATTACAAAGAACACGTAAGTGTGTGTGTTAAGAATGGTTCAGGTTGTCTACTGCTTTTGCTGCATCACAGTTGTGGCAAAAACGTACTATGACTCGCTACACTCCACTACATTACGCCTATAATTAATTGCTACTTTTTTTTTGTTCTTTCTTTCCAACATCTCATCTTACCACCTTCAACACGCTGGCCTCCAATTACCTGCGAACTTGTTGCACTACACATTTCCGCTATGATTGACTGCTGTTCAATAATTATCATCGTTGGTTGCCTGCAATGTAATGTACTGTGCACTACATACATATGTACGTGTTCATCTTCGTTGCCGTTGCCGTTGCCGTCGCTGTTGCATTCGTAAATGTACCGACTTTTCATTTAAATGTCATCATCATTGTTATCCAGCACGGAGGAGGCTTTGCTGCGCTATATAATTGATTCGATTTTTCTTTTTGCATTCATGTTGGCGCTGATTTTTCACAGTCATCAAACGGAGGCCACTTATCGTCTAGATTTCATTTGGAAATTACAAGCCACAGGTGAGTCGAATGAACAAAGATGCGACAAAATAATTACTATATGTTGTAAAAGAATAACACTAATTTGTAAAAGCTTGTTCGTATTTCTGCATTTTTGCTTTGTTTGCAATTCTTTGTTGAGTCAAAGTAATTGCTGTAGCCGCGAATCTAAGAAAGGTGTGCAGCAGGGCGTATGCGCAACCTAAGTTTGTACTTAGTTAGCACGTAGAAGTTTTAACTTTTATTTTAACAGCTGTAGCTAAAATCAAACTCTTAAAGCAACTAGCTACCGTGTATACTAAAAAGTTTAACTATTTTGGATTTTTTTTCTTGGTCTTTGGCCTTTTTATTTTACATAAACGCATCAATTAGTGGTGGTATTCTCTGCCAGGCCTTTGGATTTGGCTCAAATTTTGCACATAACGTAATTTCATACAGAAACTGAAGAAAATTACATAGATATTTTTTTTTGTAAAAATTATTGGCGTGGCAAAAATAGTAAAAGAGTCAAGTGGATAAACGAATTTCCTAAAAACTTCACTTCTTCTTTTTAATGAAGAAATATACTTAGTAAATCAAACAATCTGTCCGCGTAACTATCTGAAAGATTTTTCCTACAAAATACCTTTGGCCTTGGTTTGTAATTCTTATAATTATGCCATGTCTCCATAAATATATTTGACGTTTACATTTTCAAATATTTCACGGACAGGCACAAAAATGCACCTAGAGTACAATCGCGTCAGGTAGCACGACAAATTAAAGGGCATATTTGTTAAAATTTTGTCATTAATGGCTTCTTATTTGTGATAAGAATGCGTTAAAGAAAAATTTTCGAAATGGAAATGTACAACAGTTGCTTAAAGAAACGTTTATGGTTTCCTAAGATGCAACTGAACAAAATCCAACCGTAGGCTTGTGACATATCACGAAGACATAAGTCTTTGTTGAGTCAATTTGAATACACTTAGGTCTCTTTTTATGCGGGTTTTCAAAACATTTTTTCGCTGTAGCGATTTTGCTTTTTTGAGAGCTTTTATTACTTTTTTTTCAGTGTGTAAGAGACAATGCTTCCGTTAATTAGTTTGTCTTTGTATTCTTACATAATTATTTTGGTATTTTTTTGTTTTAGGTTAAAATACAGTTTTCATGTTTCACATGGAATAATAAGTGTTGAAGTAAAGAATTGAGTTGTTTTGTTTTGCTTAATAAATATTGCCTCACTGGATTTTTTTAATGCGGTTTTTTAGATTTGTTTACATTGGAGTATTTATCTGAATTCATGCGGTTTTCGAAAATGCTGGAAATTAAAGAAATTTTTTATGCGAATTGTTTTAATGCGGATTTCTGAGGAACGCATATACCGCATAAAAAAAGACCTAAGTGTATTTGATGAAGTTTGGTGCTACGATATTGAAGCATAACCATTAGCGAATTTTTTTTAAACTAAATGTCGCAGAAGGTAAAATACGTTATGCTCTACACGATATTAACTAACATGGGACCTATCGATCTATATATTTTTTGCAATTTGAAGTGAATTGAAAATTTTAAACTTATCTACTGAAAAATTTTCTTTTTTGAATCGTGACAGTCTTATATGTACATATGTATGTTATTATTATGTAGTAAATAGGCGATTTGCGTAATTTTTTCATTAACCTCTGAATAATAAAAATTCGTCTAGAAAATCAGAAATTGCATGATTTGCTAATTATTGTGTTTTTTTTTTTTATATTCTTAACGCCATGTTTAAAAATGTTTCGTAAGACAATTGTCAATTCCAGCAATTATCTTAAAAGCTCTTTTCGGTCTTTTGAAAGACGAATTGAAAGATTTGCTAGCGGGAAGATCTTAACGTTATTCTGCTTGTTTTCAACCCTCTACCGTATATGAAGCCAAATATGGTGTCACTACTTTGGCAATTTTTTCCCACCTAATCAGAGTTATACAAATGTATAAAACAAGTTTCTTTGTAAAATAAAAACAAATAAAAATAAAAAAAAGAAGTCTGATGAGGAGATGTGGTGATCTCCGAAATAGGTGCTATAACTTCTACCGCTTAGACTTTGTTGCTTTTCAATTTTTCCTAATAGACAATCGTGGTACAAAGCTCAATCAAAAAAGAATTCCTATTCAATTTGAATGAAATTATTTTTAAGAAATATATATCAGAAATTCTTCTTTCGCACATTCAGTTCTGTTTCAAGTCTTTTCCTTAAACTTAAAAAAACTAAAGTCTAGATGGATCACCCTATATTTCCTTGCAAAAGAATATTAAAAAAATTTACTTGGAGTAGTTTTTTCTTTCGAAATAGGTTTACTGATACGTAAATAATGTGTTTTTCACAGTTAAAATTTGATTATTCCTCTCCTTCAAAATGCATGCAGTAGAGGGTTAAGCCATAAGTTTTCTGAAGGTAGCAAAAAAAAACACTTCAACATGGTGCCACATTGCAGTATACATAATATAAATTAGTTACATAAAAATTAAATGAAAAAAAAAAAATCTATTTACAATAGTAATATCTAAAAATTAAGCGTAATTACAAAAATAAAAAAATCAATTAAAATAATATCTATTGAAAAAATAAAAATTACGTTAAAAATATGAAAAAACACCTACGTAAAAAAGAGAAAAAAAAAAATCGCTGTCCGAAGATTCGAAGCCACTGTTGGAGCAGCATGAGCAACATGATATACATAATTATTCATCTGGTTTTCTTTCAAAAGAGCTTTTCACCATGAAAGCTGGCAAAGGAGGTTTTTTTGTAAAACTTTCATAACAAATAGTTCATACTATCTGACCTACTGTCTTTCAATTGTTTACAAAAGACAAGTTTACATCAGTACATGTCCATACTAATTTTTAATTCACTCAATCAAGTTTCTTCACCTGAAACATATTTTGTCATTCTCACAATTCTAATTGCCTAAGCTGTCTATTTCATGTTAAAGTCTAGCCGTCCTTCAAAAAAGTAAAAACTTTAAGGAAAAACTTTAAAAATGCCAATTCGAACATCTAACTAAGTAATTGAGATTTCAATGTGAAAAGCACTTGCAAAAAAAGTGAACAATCGAATTTCAAGCAAACTTTCAATACACATTAAAAATTTACGTATACGCCATGGCATTTTTCTTCTCGCCTTGGAAATATTGTCGCGCAATTGCGTAATTTACAGCTAAGTAAGTTTTTTCTTTATTGAAATTCAATTAGTAGCGCAGTACTGAAGCGTGAACAAGTAAAGTGTCTCTGCGTAGCAACACACGCAGCAGTTAGGGGTGGTCCGTGAAGAAAGAACAGTTGGAAAGTTAAAATAAGTGCAAAATGTAAAAGCGCGGCAAATAGGAAACGAAAAGTGGGAGCATTTCCGAATACTTGTGAATCAAATGGCAACGAAGCTTTTTTTTTATAATCGTTAGTGTGCTCATAGTTGTCACGCCAGCAAGACTATTATATTTTCTTTTACTCCCACTCTGCGTGCAACTACGGTGGAAGCATTCTTATTTAATTTACATCCAACCAACAAGTTAGTCAGCCAGTCAGTCAGCAAGCCACCAAGTCAATCTAAATTGCTAACCAGTGATGCTTGACAACAGCTGTCGCTCCACCTTTCCATTTAACCATTCAGGAGTAATAAAACATTTCACTACTATTATTACCATCACCATGCATACATGTGTAGGTATGTAGCAACATTCATTCCCCTTTTGACCTTCGCTACTGTGTTGTACAAATGCAGCCTTCTGCTCTTGTGATGCAGCCAACGATATGTAGCTATTCTTAAATAAGTAATAGATGCACTCGAGAGCATCGAGGAACTTGTACTTAAATATATCCCTATGCTATACTATATGTGTGTATGGTCTTATCTACATATGGGGCGTTCCATACCAAAATGGACGGGGTTCAAACCTCATGTGTTTGATTTGTTTAAAATTTTTTATGTTGATGCATAAATATAAATAATACATAAATATGAAATTTAAGCTTGATCAATGCTTTTTTAAAAACTTTATAGCACAAAAACAAAAACAAGTCCAAACAAGTAGTTTTCCAAATATCTCGAGAACGGAAGGAGGAAAAAATTAAAAAAAAAAATAAATCCCACATCAAAATTCTCTATGCAAATAAATATTAAAAAATAATAATTTATTCTAGAAAAATTTTTCACACACAAATTTTTTGTTAAAAAATAATTAGTATTTGAAAATATGCCACCTCAAATAAAAATTGAAAAAAAAACTTGCACTTTATTATACAAAAATTTAATGGGCTACAAAACTGCATACTCTCGAAAATTTTTAAAAATATTTAAAAAATTTTTAAATTTGTAATGCACTCATTTTCCTCAACTTCGGTGTAAAAAAATTCATAACTCAAATTATTGTAGAGTGCAGCCTATAATACTAAACTTAAATATTGCGCAATACTCAGAGCTGCCATTGTGATTTTTTCAATTTTTTTTGAGATGGCATATTTTCAAAAACTATTTTTTTTTAACAAAAAATTTTTATGTAAAAAAGTTTTTCAAGAAAAAAAGCTCTAATTTATAATATTTCTTTTCATAGCGAATTTTGATGTGTGTATGTGCGCTTTTTTTAATATTTTCCTTGCCCCGTGCTCGAGATATTTGGAAAACTATTAAATCGATTTGTTTTTCTTTTCGTACTGTAAAGTTTTAAAAATGTATTAATCAAGCTCAATTTTCATACTTATTTATAATTTATGTTTATTTATCAACCCTAAAAATTTGAAACAAATCAAATACATGAAGTGTGAACCCCGTCCGTTTCGGTATGGAACGCCCCATATACATAAGTAGATATACATACGTACATTGTGCAGCAGTGAGCATTTAGTTTTCGTTGACATTTATTTTCACGATTTTTCTGCTGAACATTTATTCACTTCCATATTTTCTTTTGTATTTTTTCATATTTTTTGCAACATCCAATTATTCGCACATCCATGCACCGTTTAAACCGCGTAGAGGAGAAAGAGGATATGGAACATTTGCAAGCGTATAATCGCAAGCTGCTGGAAAATATT